CTCGTGCGACTTCGCCTCCGCGTTTTTGCCTTCGCCGGCGCGGCAGCCGATCGCGCTCGTCGCGCCGCCGCCGCCGCCGCCGCCGTCGAGCTCGCTCTCGAGCACGGCCTGGTAGTGAATCCTGTTCCCGACCATGTGCCCGACCAGCGCGGCGGTCTCCGGGAACAGCTTCACGAACGACGCGTACAGCGGCGCGACGATGAACTCGATGAAGTTTATCTGCGAAGACGCCGCGTTCGTGGAGCTCGAGTCCATCATCGGCGAAATCGGCACCCCGCGCGCGCGCTCCATGTCGCCCTGGTTGAAGAACTCGCCTAAGACCCTGTGCGCCCACTTCTCGTACGTCTTGAACGGCTTCACCGCGTTCGAGATGTCCGCCGCGTGCAGGATGACGTTTAGGATGAACTGCCGGTCGTCCGGCTTGTCGTAGATGCAGTCGACCATCACGCCGCGGTTCACGCGACGCGTGTTGGCTTTAATTCCCGCGCTGTGAATCTCGTAGAACACCTCCATCTGCGACACCATCTTGAAGTGGTGACTCATGTCCGTGTGTAACACCGTCGCGATGATGATCTTCCGGACTTCGCGGTACAGCGGGTCGTCCAGCGCGGCGAACACGTTCGCGACGTCCTCCTCGGGAGGGTCGCTATCCGCGTCCTCGTGGACGGCGTTCATCGACACGACACTTCGCGTGCGTATCCTCGCCGCCGCCATCGCTGCCGCGCCTTTGACGTCGCCGTTCGCGCTTTTCACTCCGCGCGTCTGTCGCGTGTGGATGATCGAGTACAAACACGCGATGTGCGAATTCTCCAAGACGCTGTTGTCGTTGTACACCGTCGCGAGCGTGTCTTTCGCGTTTACTAAAAACGCGTTCGAGACCCCGGGGTGGTCGAGATCGTGCGACAGCGCGGCGATCATGAGCGCGAACTTCTCGACTTGCGTGATGTGTGTTCGCAGTTCCGTGATGACGATGAAACGATACACTGTGTGCGTGACGTCCACGGCGTGCTGCCAGTTGTGATACGGGTTCGCGCGGTACCCGCCTTCAACGCGCACGAGGAAATTCCAAATCGTATTGCAGTCGCAGAACCCCTCCGTGGACGCTTGCTCCGCGTTCAAGCTCGCTTTCGGCGCCGGGCGCGCGTCGTCCGAGGAGCGAAGAAGCCCGAGCGCGCCGAACATGAGGAGCACGTACGCGCGCGTCTCCTCGGAGGACAGCGAGAGGACGTCGAAATCCCACGTGTTGATGAGCGTGTGATCGAGCCCGGGAGGCAACGGGATGTCGCACGCCGCCGCCGCGGACGCGGCCGCGTTCGCGGCCATCATCCGCGTCCTCGACCGCTTCCGCGCCTGTCGCAGTTGAAGCTCCGGTCCCGCGCGCAGAGGGAACGGCGACGTCGCGCTGAACTCGTCGTCGTCCGACCGCGCGTCGTCGCCGGCGTCGCCGCTGTCGACGCTAAACTTGCGCTCGCGTTCCTTCCCGCCGCCGCCGGTGCCGGTGCTCGGCGAGTCCGGCGCGCTCTTGTACGCCGCGCCGAGGCCGACGACGACGGTCGGCGCGTCGCCGTCGTTCGCGACGGCGCCATCGTCGCCAGACGGCTCCCCGGCGGCGGCGGCGGCGCTGCCGCCGCCGCCGCCGCCGCCTCCGCCGCCGTAATTCGCGTTCAACCACGCCCTGGTCTTCTCGTCCACGTTCGCGTCGTTGACGTACTCGTTAAACATGTGCCCGCCTTGCGCGCCAGACCCGGCGACGTGTTTGACGAGACGCGTGAGCTTCTCGATCGACGCCTCCATCGCGTGCATGCCGCCGTCGTCGTCGTCGTCGCCGTCGTCGCCGCCGCCGTCCATTTTCCCGCGAAACGCCCCGGTGATCTTATCCATGTTCTTCTTCATGTTCTCGAATATCCGATCCAACGGCACGATGACCTGCCGGCTCGTCACCCGCGCCAGCAGCGCGGAGATCAACACGAGCTCGGCGACGACGAACATCACCATCCCCATGTTCATGAGCGCCGTCCACTGATTCACCGGAGCGATGTTCAGCTCCATCGCGACGCACTCGCCGTGCCCCGCGTCCGCAGCCTTCGACCACGTCTCGTCGCACGCGCCCGCGGTGACCTCGAGCCTGTCCGTGCTTCTGCGCGAGCGCGAGAAGGAGTCGCTGAAGTCCCAGGTTCGGTTCCCGAGCGCGAGCGCGACGGGCTTGCGTTCGCCGACTTGGAAAAAATCAAAGAATTCCGCGCCGATGGCGTCGCCGTGCGTCTCGGTCAACGCCGCGCCGCCGCCGTCGACCGCGCTGACCGCTTTCAACGACGCGAAGTACGCGGACGGGATCGTGTACGAGTCGTCCCACGTCAGCATCGGCGCGGCGAATATCGTCAGTATGACGAGGATGGCGACGATTTTGGACATGCTCTCACGGAGGTTCCGCGCGATGTTCCCGGTGCCCGTGGACGACGCGACGCCGGATTTTTTTTTCTTCGCGCTCGTCCCGTCGCCTCTTCCGCTCTTCCGCTCTTTCGTGTCCCCGCCTCCTCCGCCGCCGCCCGCGCACGTCCTGCACAACCTCAACACGGGAAACATCCGCGCGACGCGCGCGAGCGACTGCACGCGCGCGCCCACCCGCGCCGCGCGCGCGACGCGAAACGTGGACAGAATCGACACGTCGTGCGGCCCCACGGAAGACGCGCCGTCCGGCGGGAGCCACCCCCGCGAGAGCCACTCCACGTCCGCGACGATCGCCGCGGTGCCGATGAGGTCCATCCAGAAGAAGAAGCTCCACGCGTACGCGTCGCGGCACAGCGAGTTGGCGGCGAGCTCGAGGACGAACAGCAGCAGCGTCACGCACAGCGTCACGGCGACCCAAAAGTCGACGCGGTCCGGCGCCGACGCGTACGCGACCGCGTCCACGAGAAACAGCGCGCACGTCAGCGCGAGGAGGAGGACGCACTGCGACGGGATCGAGTCCAGGGCGCGGACGACGCGCGCGCGGATCGCGCGCGGGACGAGCGTCTTCTTCGTCCTCGCGCCTCGCCGCGCGTCGTCGTCGTCGTCGTCGTCGTCGTCGTCGTCGTCGCGGTGGACCCAACCGTCGTCGTCTCCCTGGGAGCCCGAGAACGCCGCGCCGAGCGATCGCTCGGACGCGCTCGGGAACCGCCCGCGGCGGTCGTCGTCGGAGACGCGCGAGGGCGGCTTCGCGAGCGGCGGCGCGCGACTCGACAATCGCGCGTCGCTCGCGCGCAGGACGTCCGACGGTCGTACCCCGGGTCCGGGCGGGAGCGTCGGCGTCCGGAGCCCGGAGCCGGGGACGACGGTCACGACGAGCGTTGGCGTTTCCCCATTGGCGTCGTCGTCGCGATCGCGCGCGCGCGGGGGCGACATCGCGGCCGCGACGCGCGCCGCGCGCGTCGGTCGACGCGGGGGTATCGCGCGCGCGAGGAGAGAAGAGAGCGACGAGAGCGCGTCGCGCGATGGAGACGGCGCGCGAGGCGTGCCGCGCGCGTCGCGGAGTGGACGCGCGCGCGGACGGGCCGCGCGACGTTTCGTTTTTCGTCGGACGACGCGAAACGTCCTGATGAGCCTAATTTAGATTAGAAGACGTCTCTCCTCGCTCACGGATACTTCGGCAAGATGTCGAGCGCGACCTTCTGCAGCCCGGGGTACTCCTCGCACGTGTACACGATGTCGTACGTGTCCGTGTCGCGACGTCGCCTGAGCACCTGCCACGGCCCCGGATACGCTCGGAACAGCACCGCGGGGTTGCTCCCTTTGTAGTTGTGCACGAAATACACGCCCTCGAACTCCCTCGCGAACCCCCGCAAAGGCTTCATCTCCCCGACGTTCCAGAACGACGGGTAGTACTCGCTCCTCGTGCGCTCGAGCTCGCCGTTGCACATCACGATCGGCCGCGCCGGGCCGGCGCGGGCCAACTCGCCCTCGCGGAGTTCTCGCGTGCACACGAGCTCGCTCACGTTGGTGCACGGATACGCGACGACGAACGCGGTGTCGCTCTCCGGCACGCGCATCGCGACCGTCTTCCGCGTGCCCAGCATCTTATCCAACCCGGACACGGACAAGAAGTCCGGCTGCTCGAGGTAATCGATCGGCCCGGGGAACGACGCGAACTGCGGCTTCGTCTGCGAGTTTTCCGGCGGCCGCACGCCGTCGGGCGAAGGCGCCGCGCCCGTGAGCGCGAGCGAGCGTTCGATCGGATCCGGGAAGAACACCCGCGTCGTCTTCGCGGTGCCGTTTCTCTCGAACTGCGAGCATATCCCTCGCAAGTGCGCGACCGTGAGGTTGTTCTCCACGTTTCCCTCGACGTCCCCGGGCGCGGTGTCGAGGCCGCCGCTCGGGAACTGAATCTCCAAGAGCTCGACGCCGTCGTCCAGCGCCGCCTGGAGCGACGCCTGCGCTTGGCGTATCAGCTGCGCGTAGTCTTTCGGGAACGGCTCGAGCTTCTGCGACGACGACGACGACGACGTCTTCTTCCCGGCGGGTTTCTTCTTCGCGCCGCCGCTTCCCCCCGAGGAGGCCTTCTTCGTCGTCGTCTTCTTGTCGCCGTCGAACAGCCCGCCGAAGAGGTTGGCGCGCACGTCCCGGCATCTCGTCGACGACGGGCGCGACGAGGACGACGCGCGACGACGCGCGACGGACGGCGTCCGCGCGGGCGCGGCGGTCGAAGCGACCGCGGCGAGCGTCATGGAGGAGTGCCGGGAGGAGTGCCGGGGACGCCGAAGGCGATCGCGATGCGATGACTGGTGGCACGTGGCGTGGCAGTGACTACAGAAATCCATCTGATGTCTCCATCATCTAACGTCTTTAATACCAGTTTCGGTTTCTCCTCCTGCTGCAGCTCATCATGCGCTGGTCGAACGGAAACCTAAAGAGCGCGCGCGCGTCACTTCGCGCGGAGCACCGAGCGCGCGCGGCGTCGTCGCACGACTCGATCGTCGTCGAAAACGCGTGACTCGCCGTCATCATGGTGCGCGCGCGATCCCCCGCGTCGTCGCGCCCCACCCCGCGCGCGCGATCTCGCGCGCGCGCCGTCCATTTCGTTTCTCCGCGCTCGCCTCGCGCGACCCGCGCCCCCTCGTCTCTCGTCGTCATCATCCGACGCCGCGATCCCCCCCCGTCCCGCGCGATGCGATTTAAAAAAAACCACGATCGCCCGCGCAGGTCGTCCTCGCCGCGTCCGTCGTGACCAAGGGCGGCAAGGCGCTCGTCTCGAGGCAGTTCGTCCCGATGACGCGCATCCGCATCGAGGGCCTCCTAGCCGCGTTTCCGAAGCTCGTCGGATCCGGGAAGCAGCACACGTACGTGGAGACGGAGAACGTCCGGTACGTGTACCAGCCGATCGACCAAGGGAACATGTACCTCCTGCTCGTCACGAACAAGGCGTCGAACATCCTGGAAGATCTCGACACCCTGCGCGTGCTGTCGAAGGTTCTCCCCGAGTACACGCAGATGCAGACGGACGAGGAGGGCGTGAGCCGAGCGGCGTTCGACCTGATCTTCGCGTTCGACGAGGTCATCTCGCTGGGGCACAAGGAGAACGTCACGATCTCGCAGGTGCGGACGTTCACGGAGATGGAGTCGCACGAAGAGAAGCTGCACAAGATGATCATCCAGAGCAAGATCAACGACACGAAGGACGTGATGAAGAGGAAGGCGATGGAGATCGACAAGCACAAGATCGAATCCATGCCCGGCGGCGGAGGGCGCTCGCACCGCGGCATGGGCGGCGGAGGGTACGGCGGCAGCGGCGTGGGAGGGTACCACGACGACATGGGCGGCGGAAGAGGTGGCATGGGTGGAGGCGGGTTCGGGAGCAGCGGCAGCTTTGGGGATCTGGACGCGGGCGGCGGCGGCGGCGGCGGGATGGGGGCCATGGGCGGGAGCTCCCGCGGCGCGGCGGCGCCGTCCGTGCCGTCCAAGTCCGGCCCGTCGCGCGGGCTCGTCCTCGGCGGGAAGCAGAAGCAAAACAAGTTCCTGGAGAACCTCCGCGCGGAGGGCGAGGCGGTGGAGTTGGACTCCAGGGCGGCGGCGGGGGCGCCGCGCGCCGGGGTGCCCGCCGTCGCGCGCGAGGGCGTCTCGCTTCAGATCGAAGAGAAGCTCTCCGTCGTGTTAAAGAAAGACGGCGGCCTCGAATCCATGGAGCTCCAGGGCACGATGATGCTCGAAGTGTCCGGCGGCGAGGAGGACGCGTTCATCCGCGTCGCGATCAACACGGGCGTCAACGAGGGGTTCCAGTTCAAGACGCACCCGAACATCGACAAGAACCTGCACGCGTCGGAGAACGTGTTGGGTCTGAAGGACCCGAATCGTCCGTTCCCGATGGGCTCGCCGCTCGGGATCTTGAAGTGGCGGTTTCAGACCACGGACGAGAGCAAAGTCCCGCTGTCGATCAACTGCTGGCCGTCCGTCAGCGGCGGGGACTCGTTCGTCTCGATCGAGTACGAAGCCGCGAGCGCGTTCGACTTACACAACGTCGTGATCGCGATCCCCCTCCCCGCGCTGCGCGAGCCCCCGACCGTGAACCAGATCGACGGCGATCACCGGTACGATTCGCGCAGGCACGTGCTGTACTGGGACATCACGCTGATCGACGAGTCGAACAGGAACGGCAGCATGGAGTTTGTCGTCCCGGCGACGGAGAGCGAGGCGTTTTTCCCGATCTCAGTCGACTTCACGTCGAAGGACACGCTGTGCGACGTGAAGGTGGACCAGGTGACGCGGACGACGGACGGCGGCGCCGTTAAGTTTTTCGGCGAGTCCGCGATCGTGTGCGAGAGCTACCAGGTCGTGTGAGCTTGATGAAACATATCCATACTACACCACGAGCCCCGATTCGTTCTTCCGTCCGCTACGCGTTCTTTTTCCGCCGCTTCGACGAGACGCAGTGCTTCCGTCTCGCAGCGTCTATTAACTCGAGCTCGCCCTCGCGAAGCACCATCGCGGCCTCCAGACCGACGACGCCTCCCCCCGCCGGCGGCGCGGCCGTCGCCGCCGCCGCCCCGTCCCCCTTCTCCGCGCGCGGGTACAAACCCTCGCGCGCGTCGAGAACGCTCGCCAACGCCGTCGCCGTCGCGCCCTCGTCCTCGTCCTCGTCCTCGTCCTCGCCGCGCCGCGCCTTCCCCACGCGCTCGCACAACGCTAACAACCCCGGCTCCACCTCCACGCCGCCGTCCTCCCCGCGCGCGATCTCGAAGTACGCGTCCGCGTCGCCGTCTTCGAACCCGTCCATCCCGAGCGCCGCGACCGCGTCCGCGACGGCGTCCGCGCCGAGGGCGTCGCGCGCGAGCGCGAGGTCGACGGCGATCGTCGCGTGCGCGTTGCCGCGCTCGCAGAACCCGTACTTGTGCAGCAACGACGCGTTGTTCTGCTGGCCGAACGTGTTGAACAGCTCGTCGCCTTTGGAGACCGCCTTGTGGGTGTGGATGACGAGCGCGCCCTGAGGGGTCGTCAGCGGGGGCGGCGGCGCGGCGGCGTCGTCGTCCTCTTCCTCGTCGTCCTCTTCCTCGTCTTCCTCCTCCTCCTCTTCCTCCTCCTCGTCTTCTTCCTCCTCTTCGTCCGCGCCCAAGACGCGAACGGTCTCGTCGTCCGTTCGATGGTTGAACATGTCCGCCCACGGCACGAGCGCCTCGCCGCACTCCTCGCCGATGTAAAACGCCCTCGACGCGCTCAGGGACGCGGCTTCGAGGTACCTCTCGAACGTCAGCTCCTCTCTGCGAAACTTCTCGGGATGCGCGACGCACAGGCCGTTGACGACCTCCTCGTCGTAGTCCGCTCGCAGGTTCTCCGCGTCCTCGCGCACGTGCGTCGCGAGGTCCGTCCCCTTCAGCGCTTCCAGCCGTGCCTCCGTCCAGAACATCGGCAGCGTGCGCTCGCCGCGGGACGGGAGGACGGCGAAGTAGTCGCGCCATCGGCTCTCGCTTCCGAGCGCGCGCTCGACCATGACAGCGACGTTCAGCGCTAAGCCGCCGCCAAGGCGCGCGTCTCTCAGCTCTTTCGCGACCGAGCACGTCCTCGCGCTGAGGCACGCCTTCTTTGGGATCGCGGAGACGATCTCGACGTCCGCGGGGAGGTCATCGCGCGCGTGCACCGCGTAGTGGCATCGGATCGACTCGGACGAGTCCCCGCCGGAGCGGTCGACGAAGACGCGGATCTCGAGCGCGTCGCGGTCGTGCACGACGCCCTCGGCGTCGCACCAGGACAGAAAACGCGTGAGGGCGTCTTTTCCGGCGGCGGCGATCGCGTCGGGGGACGCCATCGCGCGCGTCGCGCTGTGCGGCGGAGGGCGCCGCGACGGTTATAAATCGACAATGATCGAGGCAGCACTTTTCCGCGATCAGTGCTGCACTGGAAAACTTTGTGGCGGCTTATCCACCGCGCGCGCTCACTCCATCCCGGCGCACGCCCTCGACCGACTCGCAGACCCGCCGTCATGCCTTTCATCTTCGACACGCTTAACGGCCTCTTCATCCTCTCCGCCTTGGTGTTCGCGGGCGGCATGGCGAAAGCGTCGAGGGACCCAGAGCTGATGAAGAACACGGTGCACGGGCGTCGCATGGCGAAAAAAGCTGAGCAGGTATCCGTCGACTCCCCGTCCGCTCGAGCGCGCTCGCCGCGGTCCGCGTCGCGCGCGGCGCGACGCGCGGCGAACGAGCGGCGCGATCGCACCCCGCGCGTCGCCTCGTCGCGCGTCGGATCGTCCCCGCGAGTTTCGTCCCGCCCGTCCCCGCGCCGCGACGCCCTTCATCTCATCATCCTTCGTTCTCCGACTGACGCGGACGCGATTCGCTCGAACTCGATTCTTCGCAGGAGGCTGTCAAGAAGGCGGAGGAGGAGGCGGCGAAGAAGAAGGGCAAGAAAGGGCGCAAGTGAGCGAGACGAACGGACCGCGAGTTGAGTTCGAGTCGATGAAACTATTCCACGGTAGGCGCGCGGGTTGTAATACGCATCCACGCGCTCATAGGCAAATAGCCATACGACCGGGGATTGCGCTGGACGCCGTTCGCTTCGTGTCCAATATGACAAAACGCTCGCGTTCGGTTACACCCACTCTCTCTCTCCGCCCCCTCACATGGTCAGATCCATGATCGCAGAAACGATATCCCCGTCGTTCGACTTGAGCGCGTTGACCGCCTTGCCGCGAGACACGCCAGCCTGGGTCATCACGAGCTCGATGTCCTTGGGCTCCACGCCCGTCTCGTCGATCTCGCCTTCGTCCTCCTCCTCGATCGTCGCCGCAGACGCGGGCTCCAAAGAGGGCATGTCCGCGCTCTTGAACTGCTCCGCGGCCGCAGCCTGGGACGCCGCGCTGAGGTCCTCGATCTTCGCCTCGCCGAAGATGACGTGCGTGTCGCTGTTCGGGGACTTGAACACGTCCGGCTTCGAGACGACGAACAGGATGTTCTTGGACTTTTTGATCGTCACGCGCATGACGCCGGGGACAGGCTTCATCCCGAGCTTCAGCATCGCTTTGCGGCTCTTCTTCTCGCTGCGGCTCTGCTTGGGCTTGCCGTCTGTCGTGGTGGTCGGGAGATGGGGGCGGCCGGGCGGGGAGGGGGGGAGGGGAGGTCAGTCGTCGTCGCGCGCGGGCGGACGCGAGGCGAGCGCGACGAAGATGAAGCATCCGCGGAGGGCTGGGCGGGCGCGGCAAGGCGACGCCTCCGTCGTCGTCGAGACGCGACGCCGACCGCGCGCGTCGCGGAGGACGCGCGCGGACGTGAGACGCCGCGGGCGTTCGCGCGGGCGTTCGCGCGGCGTTCGCGCGCCGTCGCGCGAACGAGCGCGCGACGACCCCAGACCCTCGCGTGGTGGTCGGGGGCGAGATTTGTGTGGGCGCGCGGACGCGCGCGCGAGGGTCTCGCGGGCGGCGGGAGAAACGCACCCTCTCCCTCTTCCTCGTCGTCGTCGTCCTCCTCGTCGTCGGAGACGTCGTCGTCCTCGACGTCCTGCGCGCGCGAGAGATGCGGGGGTGGGGGGAGGGCGAGGAGGTCAGCTACCGAGCGGAGGGTGACGGTGGAAAAACAAACCCTAACGAGCGAAACATTCCGGAAAACCGGAAGTCGACGGCGCTCCGCGACGCGAGACGACGCGCGGGGTGGCGCGCACCTCGACGGTGGGCTCGTGCTCCTTGGTAGCGGCCATTATGTTCAAGTCGATGAGTGCGTGGCTCGTTCGACGCGCGGCGTAAAGGGCGATGCGCGGCGATCGATTTTTGTTTATGACGGCATCAGCGCTCGCGCTGAGGCGGATTTTTTATCGGTCAAAGTTGAAAGGACTGAAACCGAAACTTGAAACCGGCTTCATCGGCGAATGACAACGACGAGAAAACCTGAGAAACGGCCAGGCTCGAGCGACGACCATCATCACTTCGCTCGCCGCGCCGGGCGAGCGGGTGGATGACGACGAGGAGCGTCGGCGTCAAGGTCGCCGCGACCGCCGGGCTCCTCGTCCTGCTCGCGTCCGCGCGCCGCCTCTCCGCGCCCTCGATGGGGCTCAGCGCGCGCGTCCACGACGACAGCGGACGACGGCGGAGCGCGTCCGCGTCCTCAAACGCGCATCTGGACGCCTCCTCCTCCTCCTCCGCCGCCTACGTCGCGTCGTCCTCGGCCGCGCCGGGCGGGGGCACGCGCACGTCGTTCTCGACGCGCGGGACCGCGCTGTCGAACCGCGACGTGATATCCCTCTGGCGCGGCGCGGCTCCCTCCGCCGAGACGTTCCGCGAGACGTTCCTGAGCTCGCTGCGCGCGTCGCCGCACGACGCGTTCTACTGGGAGACGCCGCCGCTGACGCGACGCGCGCTCGAGCGCGAGTACGAGCACGTCGTGACGCGCGCGCCGTCGCTCGTCGGCGCGAGCCCGGAGCCGGAGACGTTCGCGGAGCACCTCGCGAGCGCGGAGGCGGAGGCGAGAGGGGGCGTCGCGGTGTATCGAAATCTTGGCGGCGACGCGACGCTCGTCGCGCCGACGCCGTGGAGCGACCCGCCGTCGCGCTCCCCGGGCGCGCACCTCGCGGCGTTCGTCCGCGCCGCGCCCGCCGCGCGCGCGCACGCGCTCCTCGTCGCGCTCGGGGAGACGCTCGACGCGCGCCTCGGGGTCGGGGACGGGGTCGGGGGGGTCGACGACGCGGACGACGACGACGACGACCCGGTGTGGGTGTCCACGAACGGCGGCGGCGTGGCGTGGACGCACGTGCGGTTGGACGCGGCGCCGAAGTATTACGTCCACGCGCCGTATCGAGAGAGACCGCGGTGACGTCCGCGACAGCCGCGCGACGACGCGGCGAGTCGTGAACGCGGTGAGGTGTGTCTAGGTAGCGTAGTAATACAAAATGGTAGATCCTATCCTATATCGTGTCGGTCGCGGTCGCCTCTCACGCGGCTTCCTTGTTCAGCGCCCTGTGCCGAGCGACGAACAGACACGACGTCATCATCCCCGCGCACATCGCCAGGAACCCCGGCTCGCTCGAGCTCCCCGCGAACGCGAGGCACGCGATCACGAGCGCGTTCAGCGGAACCCGAAACACGCTCGTCATCGTCGCTCGGAGGCGGTTCGGGACGAGCTCTGCGCGCAGCACCGCGATGGCGGGCCAGTACATCCCCAAGCCAAACTCGAAGCCGCAGAAGCAGAGCAGAGTGATCCAGTACCCGTGAAACGCGATCGGCGTCGCGAACGCGATCAGGGACCCGAGGAAGACGGCCCTCAGCGTCGTCCCCGCGGGGACGCGCTCCCCGAACGCGGTGTACGCTTGCGACCCCGCCATCTTGCACGCCATGAACAGCGAAAACACGACGCCGTGAGGCACCGCGCGGTCGCCGCCGCGGCGTTCGAGCGCGGGCGTCCACACGAACACGAACACGTGCAGGGACGCTTCGTACAGCGCGTTGATCACCCCGAGCGAGAGGAGTTCCGGCTCGTTGAATACCGCGGACACCGCGCGCATGACGCCGGCGCCCGTCTCGCTCGGGGCGGCGGCGGCGGCCGCCGCCGCCGCCGCCGCCGCGCGGGGCATCCCCGACTCCGCCGCGTCCGCGTCGTCGTCGCGGTTCCACCGCGAGCCGCGCGCCGGGATCGGCCCTCCGATCGGCGACGACGGAATGATGTCGATCAAATCGCCGCTCCCGCCCGCCGCGTCCAACGCGCCGTCGCCGCCGATCCCCTTCCCCATCCCCGCCCCGCCGCCGCCGCCGCCGCCGGTCGCGGGAGGCGACGGGTCCCGCCACCACCGAAACGCCGCGAACGCGCACGCGAACAGCGCGACCGCGCCGACGTCGAAAGCGGGACTGTACGCGTTCGTGTACATCGCGCCCGCGCCCGCGCCCGCTCCCGCCGCCGCCGTCGCCGTCGCCGTCGCCGTCGCCGTCGCCGTCTCGTTCCGCGCCTCCCCTCCGACGCCCCCCCCCTCTCTCGCGAAGTGACTCACCGCGACGTTCCCCACCATACCCGCGAGCACCGCGCTCACGGCGTTGAAGAACGTCGCGGACGCGAACAAGCGAACGAGGTACCGACGGTCTAACCGCCGCGCGCGCGTCTCGACGATGGCCCACGACTCGAACGACGAGAAGAGGAGAGAGTACGCGACGCCGGACATGACGCGGCTCAAGAGCAGCGCGCCGACGTCGCTGCTCCGCATCATGAGGCACGCGGTGCCGTACAAGACGCCGTACGTGATGACTAGCTTTCGATGCCCGTGCGTGTCGCCTAACGACGAGACGTACGTCCCCACGGTCGCGGACGCGAAGTAGCCCAGGATGAAGACGCGCCCGATGTCCGCCATCGCGAACCCGTGCTCGCGATACAGCGCGTACAGATACGCGCCCTGGATCCAGTCCCCGAACGTCCCCAAGACGTACACCGCGATGTATTTGCGTCTGAGCAGCGAGAACGCGGCGTGCTCCGCGCCGCGGTCGCTCGCGCCGCCCGCGCGATCGCCCGAGGCGGGGGATCGACGCGTGAGATGCTGCAGCGCGCCGCACATCACGCACACGAGGACGAGCGCGAGGATCTCGCCCGAGGGCGACCCCGGCGCCGCGTCCGACGCGAGCGTCGACGGGACGCGGTGGAGATCGGGGTGGTTCATGCTCCGCGTGAGCGCGCGCCCCGCGCCCCGAGCGATGGCGAAAAAGCGTTCGACTCGTCGCCGTTATCCCCCCAGACTGCCCTGACCCGTGGTCTCTAACTAATTGCTCTGTGCGAATAGGCGTACAGTACGGATACAGTACGTACGAGAATTCGACCAGGTTTATTTTTCGCAGCCGCGGCCCGTCGAAACTGACAACGACGCGGGAACGCGCGACCATGACGAGAGGAAGCGGGCGACGAACGAGGCGCGAGGCGAAGTACACGATGTCGTTCGAAGAGGAAGGAGCGCGCGCGTGCGAGACAAGACGTCGATTTTTGTGCAAATACACAATATGTGCGTTCACTTTTCATAACAAATTTTATTATTTAGCGGGCAACGCGCGGCGGTCATGGAAAAAACCTGCACTATTGAGATACAGGGAAAACTCGCGCCGTGCGAGAAGTGGCGAAGCACTTAGTAGAAGCCGAAGCCGGACGCCGCGTTGGTGAGGACGTTGGCGTGGACCGGGTCCGCGACGTGCGCCTGCCAGTTGGCGATGGGGCCCTCCTGGGTGGCGAGGCCCTGCATGATGCAGCCGAGCCACGCGAACATGGAGAGGCGGCAGTGCTTGAGCTCCTTGATCTTGAGCTCCTCGAGGTCACCGGACTCGGCGAGGCCGAGGGGGTCGAAGCGGCCACCCGGGGAGACGTCACCGACGGTGAGCTCATCGAAGACCGGGTCGGAGAGGCCGGTGCGGTACGCCTCGGCGAGGCCGACGAGGACGACCTCAATGATGAGGACGTTCCAGAAGGACGGGTAGCCGGAGCCCTCCGGGGCGAGGGGCGCGACGGCGCCCGGGAACTTGTCCGCGACGGCGGTGCAGTCGTCCGGGGTGCAGAGGGTGCCCGCGGTGAACCAGGGGATGCCCGTGCCGTTCTCCGCCGCCCACGCGCCGGTCACGCCGAGCATCGCCCAGCGGCCGTGGATGACCTCACGCTCGGCGTTCTTCTCGGAGCCGAAGGGGATGATCGGGGACTCGCCGCCGCCCGGGTAGGTGCCGAACTCCGGGTAGATGTCCGCCTTGACGACGGTGGACACGGACTTGGCCTGGAACAGCGCAGGGAGAGAGAGAGGGGGGCGGACGGTCAGTTTCTGATTCCGTATCGTATCTCGAGTATCGCGGAACTCCGGAGTAGATCGCGCGACGAAAACCGCGCGCGACGCCGCGCGCGCGATGGAAAAGAGCCGCGACGACCGCGAGAAGGATGCATCATCGCTCAATGCGCATGATTTTTCCGTTTCGCGCTCGTCGCGCCCGCGCGCGCGTCGCGATCCCTCGCGAACGCGCGCGCGTGAACTCTCTGACGCGATCGCGTTTGGGTTCCCGCGAATCCGCGCGGAAAAAACACCGGAGAAGCGCGCGCACGCACCGTGACCTTGGTCGCCTTGAGGGCCGCGACGGAGCCGGTGAAGGAGGAGGCAATGCAGGCCATTTTTAAAGTTTTGTTATGTGATGTGAAGTGTGGGTGTGTGTGCAGGAATGGCGTCCGCGCGGAATCGCGAGGGGTTAAGTCGCGGCCAAACGCTGACAACGGCCAGTGGATCCCGCCGGGAAAATCGAAAAACGCTCATCTCATTGGCTCGTTCCCGACACCGAGGCCAGATTCGATCGCATCTCGCGTGACTGACTCTCGTACGGATTCGCGTCGCGCGGCGTACTACGACATCCCGTACTGACATCCGAAACAAAAATACACTAGTGCCAACCTGGCGTAGTGCTTCAACGCTCAATTTCGAACTGATTGCCCATATGCGCGGTCGGACGACCACTCGCGATCGCGCAGAGCCCGTTTCATTCGCCCGTATCGCGACTGGAATCGGCCGGTTCAGTTCGTGAGATCCACATTCAGATTCGATCGCCAGCGAGCGACTCACAGGGCGTTAAAAATCATCGAAACGCACTGCGTCGAGATATGAAAAGCGCTGCGACGTCGCCGCGGACGCCATTCCAGCACACACACCCACACTTCACATCACATAACAAAACTTTAAATATGGCCTGCATTGCCTCCTCCTTCACCGGCTCCGTCGCGGCTCTCAAGGCGACCAAGGTCACGGTGCGTGCGCGCGCTTCTCCGGTGTTTTTTCCGCGCGGATTCGCGGGAACCCAAACGCGATCGCGCGAGAAGTTCACGCGCGCGCGTTCGCGAGGGATCGCGACGCGCGCGCGGGCGCGACGAGCGCGAAACGGAAAAATCATGCGCATTGAGCGATGATGCATCCTTCTCGCGGTCGTCGCGGCTCTTTTCCATCGCGCGCGCGGCGTCGCGCGCGGTTTTCGTCGCGCGATCTACTCCGGAGTTCCGCGATACTCGAGATACGATACGGAATCAGAAACTGACCGTCCGCCCCCCTCTCTCTCTCCCTGCGCTGTTCCAGGCCAAGTCCGTGTCCACCGTCGTCAAGGCGGACATCTACCCGGAGTTCGGCACCTACCCGGGCGGCGGCGAGTCCCCGATCATCCCCTTCGGCTCCGAGAAGAACGCCGAGCGTGAGGTCATCCACGGCCGCTGGGCGATGCTCGGCGTGACCGGCGCGTGGGCGGCGGAGAACGGCACGGGCATCCCCTGGTTCACCGCGGGCACCCTCTGCACCCCGGACGACTGCACCGCCGTCGCGGACAAGTTCCCGGGCGCCGTCGCGCCCCTCGCCCCGGAGGGCTCCGGCTACCCGTCCTTCTGGAACGTCCTCATCATTGAGGTCGTCCTCGTCGGCCTCGCCGAGGCGTACCGCACCGGCCTCTCCGACCCGGTCTTCGATGAGCTCACCGTCGGTGACGTCTCCCCGGGTGGCCGCTTCGACCCCCTCGGCCTCGCCGAGTCCGGTGACCTCGAGGAGCTCAAGATCAAGGAGCTCAAGCACTGCCGCCTCTCCATGTTCGCGTGGCTCGGCTGCATCATGCAGGGCCTCGCCACCCAGGAGGGCCCCATCGCCAACTGGCAGGCGCACGTCGCGGACCCGGTCCACGCCAACGTCCTCACCAACGCGGCGTCCGGCTTCGGCTTCTACTAAGCGGTGTGCAAACACCCTTGGTTCTGTCATGATGGGTGCGCTCGCGCGCCTCTGAATAACGAGTAAGGTCAATAAGTGAATAAATTTTGATGAGGATGTAACGAAAAAGTTATCCCCAAGTTGTGAAAATACATCGCACGCGCGCACTATTCCGTTACATCGACTATATACTCGCGCTCGTTTCGCGTCGTCTACTGCTATCCTAACCACCCCCCGCGTTCTCAGAACCCCTCGTAGAAGTGCTCGACGCCGACGCCCATGGACCTGGTCCCTTGACCCTCCCAACCCATCCCGGCGCCGGTGGCGTAGTTCACGCCGCCGTACCCGCCGCCGCTCTGGTCCACCCACCGCGGATGAGAGGACACCGTCCTCTTGCGCTTCACGCTCGGCGGCTTGATCGCGCGCTCTAACCGTCGCAGCGACTTTCGCGTCTCGATCAGCTCCTTCGCGGCGGCGGCGACGGCGGCGATGCGCGCGTCGCGTCCGACGGTTGGTATCTGAACGCCGGACGCGCCGCGCGCTCGCACGGCGTCTTCCTCCCGCGGCTCGTGCGCGTACACGTGCACGTCGTCGTCGTCTCGCTCTTCCTCCTCGTCCTCTTCAGAGGTGAGATCGAGGTGAACGATGCCGTCGTCGTCGCCGTCGCCGTCGTTCTGCTCCTCCTCGCCGCACAAGTCGACGACGTCCTCGGCGCGCGCCGGCGCCGCCGGCGGCGGCTTCGCCCACGACCGATGCGTCCCGCCTTTCGACGTCACCGCCAGCGTCGCCTCTCTCGCGGCGAAGTTGCCGGGAAACCCGACTCTCTGCGCGGCGCGAGACACGAGCGGAGGCAGCGTGAAATCTCCCTCGGCTCTCACGCCGAAATCCACGCCGTGCGCCTTTTGCACCTCTCTCAGGACCGCGCACGCGTCGGCGAACGACGCCGTCGCGGGGCTCACCCTCCTCGGCATGTTTCGCGCGCAAAGCGAGATCGCGGAGACGAGGTCGTCCACGTTTAACCCGCCGATCTCCTCGTTTCGCGCGCGCGCGGCGGCGGTCCACGGATTCGAGCCCCAGGACGACGACGGCGCGGCGGACGCGTCGGAGGAGGACCGGCCTTCTCCGCGGCCCTTCCCCCGGCCCCTTCCGCGGCCGCGCCCGCCGCGGCCGCCGCCGCGGGTCTTCTTCTTCTTACCGCCCTCCGTATTCTTCTCGTCGTCGTGTTCCAGAGCGGTCGCGACTAACGCCTTCGCTTCTTCCGTTAGGACGACGGCGTCCGCGTCCGCGGCGGCGATCGCGTCGAGCAACGCCCTCTCCCCTCTCTCGATTTTCTCCCTCAAATCGCGCAGCTTCCCGCTCACGACGTCCTCCACGAGAAGCAACGGCTGCGCGTGCGCGGCGTCCAACAGCGCGCGGTACGTCGACGTCGGTCGTATCTCCCACCGCGCGCGCTCGCCCTTCTCGACGAGGTTCCGCCACAGACCGTCTCGTTTCGGCAAGCTCATCAGTGCCGCGTGCGCCGGGTACCCCGGGAACGATTTCGCGCGCACGACGACGACGTCCGCCTCGACTCCCCCAGACCCGCGCGCGTCCCCCGCGAGCTCGACGTCGATCGTGAACGGTTGGTCCGGTTCCTTCGCGTCCCACCCGGGGGTGGGGGTCGGCCCGCCGCCGGAGGTCGGCCGCGGCGGCGTCTTCTTCGCGACGGCGGCTTGGAACGCGAACATCCTCTCGTTCGAGCCGCCGCCGCCGCCGCCGCCGCCGAACGCGATCATCCTCTCGTTCGAGCCGCCGCCGCCGCCGCCGAACGCGATCATCCTCTCGTTCGAGCCGCCGCCGCCGCCGCCGCCGCCGCCGCCGCCGCCGCCCGGGTTCGGTCGCGTCGCCCCGGACGGCGGCGGCGACAGCGCGCTCGGCGTCGCGACCGGACCGGGCGCGGGGGCTTTCGCCGCGAGTTTCCGCAGCGCCTCTTGTTTTTTACGCTCGATGCGTTCTCTCGTCGCCGCGTCTATCGTCCCCGGCGCGGACGAAGGCGGCGAGCGCGCGACGCTCGCGCGCGCGGGCGAGCGAGCGAGCGCGTCCGACAGACGCGGCGGCGACGTCACCGCGGGCGCGGGCGCGTTCTTCATCGCGCTCAGCTTTTGAACCGCGCCGCCTCGCCACTTCTTCGCGCTGTTGATCGGACCGAGGACTTTGTCGAGGAGCGTCGATGCGCCCGGCGGCTTCGCTCGCGCGCTCGCGTCGTCGACCGGCGCGTCCGTCTTCTTCCCCGCGCGTTCGAACGCTTCGGATATCCGCCCGTTCCTGGCGTTCCAGTTGTGGTCGAAGAACGACTTCTCCATCGTCGCGGGCGCGGGGATGGATTATTCGATTGTTACAGTTCGCTCCCGCGCAAATCTCGAGGTCGTCGGAACACGCGGTCCGCGACGCCGCCGCGGCGGTGTCCGCGCGCGAAGGGCGTGCGAGCGAGCGCGTCGGCGACGGCGACGGCGTGCCTTCGAAGGGCGACCCCTCTCGAGCGTGTCAGCGCGCGCGCGAGTGTCCCCGTCCCGTCCCACCGCGCGTCGTCGTTGTCAATTTGAAAATGTGCCTTCAGCTCAGAGTTTCCTCGAGGTCGGGTCGGCACCGAGCCGAGACTGCACGCGCAGACGCGTCGCGCGCGCGCCCCCCGCGATGACCGCGTGGTGGGACGACTCGCCGTTGCCTCCCCCCGGCGCGTTCGACGACCTCTGCGCCGCGGCCGGCGGCGGCGTCCGCGCCGGGGAGTGCCGTCGCGCCACCGGCGGCGCGCGCGCGCTGTTCTCGACGCGCGCGTTCGCTCGAGACGACGTCGTCTTCCGCGAGATCCCCGCGCTGCTCGTCCAAGACCCGCGGAACGTAGCGAGCGCGCGCGCGTGCGCGCGCTGCCACGCCCTCCTCGACGAGACGCCCACGCCCACGGCGTGCGCGCAAGGCTGCGGCGTGACGTATTGCGACGAGCGATGCGCGTCGGAGCACTTCTCGAGCGGGGGGCATCGAATCGCGTGCGTCGGCCCGCTCGAGTCGTACTCGCACCCGGTCGCGGCGTTGAAGCTCGCGTGCGCGAAGGACGACGACGGCGACGGCCTCCTCGCGCTGCTCACGGAGACGGTCGCGCGCTGCGTCGCGCGCGCGGAAGAGGACGCCGCCGAAGAGGACGGCCGCGAGCCGCCCGGCGAAGGCGGCGGCGGGTTCCTCCGACGCGCGGGCGCGCACTGGTTCGTCCGCGGACCGTCGTCGCTCCCGGCGGCGCGGCTGGAGTCGTACGCGACGCTCGTGTCGGACGCGCTGGACGCCGCGGCGAGGGACGGGACGTGCGCGGAGGACGCGAAGCGCGCGGTGTTGGGTGGGGACGCGACGCGCGCGGTGTCGGAGCTCGTCGGGTTGCTGTCGAGGAACCAACTGAGCGTCGTCGTCGCCGCGAATAAACCGGCGGCGGCGGCGGCGGCGGCGGCGGCGGCGGCGGCGGCCCCGTCGTCCCCGTCGTCCGACCCCCCCCCCCCCGCCGCGTACGACGGCGTCGGGGTCTTCCCACTGGTATGCCTCATGAACCACAGCTGCGAGCCGTGCGCGGAGGTCTCGTTCGAGGACGCGGGCGCCGGCCGCGGCGGCGTGCGCGCTGTGGTGAGAGCGAAGAGGGCGATCGCCCCGGGGGACGAGCTGACGCACGCGTACGTGGACGTGGACGCCGACGTCTCCGCGAGGGCGGCCGCGCTCGCGGGGTTCGGGTTTAAGTGCGTCTGCGCGAGGTGCGCGCGGGCGCGTGGGGGGGGGGAGAGGGGGTGAAATAGCGTAGTATGCGTCTGTCTTTCGTCGTTATTCGAACGTGATGAGGTCGAAGTCGTCTAGCTAGTTCACGCGTCTGCCGTGGCGGAGGGCCGGCGCTTTCTCCGAGCGTCCGCGTTCGTTCGTACAATCGCTCGTTCGTTCGTTACGAGTACGTTCTCTGGTCGTCACATTATTAGCGCCGCGGACATCCGTTCGCTCGCAGCCACTCCGTCACGTGCGGCCACTCCTCTGTTTAAGTCCACTCGACCCACAGCATGCCGTTCAATCGCAGCCACTGCAGCACCTGCAGGTGGCCTTCACCCGTGGCAGACTTGCAAGTCCGCTCGTCTCATGGAGCGCCGTTCGCGCTCGCCTACTGCAGCACCTCCAGGTGGCCGAAACGCGCGGCAAGGGTGCAAGTATACTCGTCCCAAGGAGCGCCGTTCGCGCGCGCCCACTGCAGCACCTCCAGGTGGCCGCCACACGCGGCATTGGCGCAAGTCCACTCGTCCCACGGAGCGCCGTTCGCTCGCGCCCACTTCAGCATCTCCAAGTGGCCTTGTCTCGCGGCATTGGCGCAAGTTCTCTCGTCCCAAGGAGCGCCGTTCGCGCTCGCCCACTGCAGCACCTCCAGGTGGCCGCCTCCCGCGGCTGCGGCGCAAGTCCCCTCATCCCACGGACATCCGTTCGCGCGCGCCCACTGCAACACCTCCAGGTGGCCGCCTATCGCAGCATCGGGGCAAGTTCTCTCGTCCCAAGGAGCGCCGTTCGCGCGCGCCCACTTCAGCACCCCTAGGTGGCCGCCACACGCGGCCCCGGTGCAAGTCCCCTCGCACCACGGAGCGCCGTTCGCGCGCGCCCACTGCAACACCTCCAGGTGGCCGCCTATCGCAGCAAGGTGGCAAGTTCTCTCGTCCCAAGGAGCGCCGTTCGCGCGCGCCCACTTCAGCACCCCTAGGTGGCCGCCTAGCGCGGCATTGGCGCAAGTCATCTCGTCCCACGGAGCGCCGTTCGCGCGCGCCCACTGCAGCACCTCCAGGTGGCCGTGTTCCGCGGCGAAGGCGCAAGTCCTCTCGTCCCACGGACATCCGTTCGCTTGCGCCCACTGCAACACCTCCCAGTGGCCGCCTTCCGCGGCATCGGCGCAAGTATCCTCGTCCCACGGCGCGCCGTTCGCGCGCGCCCACTGCAGCACCTCCAGGTGGCCGCCATACGCGGCAACGCGGCAAGTCCTCGTGTCCCACGGACATCCTTGTTCCTTCGCCCACGTCAACCTGCTGACCGACCCGACGAAGTTTGGCGCCCACGCGAGTTCTCTCCTCACCGCCGCGACGTCCCTCACGTCGCCGACGGACGACGCGAAGACTACGCCGCGCATACTCCGGCTCACCAGCGCGAGCATCGCGAGGTCGCCACCGTCGAGCCGCGAGAGCACGTGCGCGTTGAAGACGTCGGTCGCGTCCGCGGCGAGTCGTTCCAGAAGTGGCTCGCGCGCGGCTTCGCGCTCTTCGAGGCGCGTTCGGACGTCCGTCACGTGCGATAAGACGACGCTCGCGATGTCATCGTTCGCGTCGAACGTCGGGTGCATCTTCGCGTACGCCGCGATCGTCGCTTTCGCGGCGGCGAGCTCCTCCTCCTTGTGCATGAGCTCGTCCACCTTGTGCCCGAGGAGCGACCTCGAGTCTTTCAGCTTTCTCTTCAGCTTTTTGAGCTTTCGTTCGACTTCGGTGACGCGCGCGGCGCGGCTTTCCAGTTCGCTGACGCGCGCGGCGAGGTCGCCCGAGGCGCCATCCGGCGTTTCGCGCGCGGGCGGATCTGCCCGACGGCGCTTTGATCCTACGTGCATATCACTCTCGGGTGGTCGCAGCGTGCGCCAGCGCGGGCGGAAGTGGCGCCCGGGGCGGCGGGAAAAAAAACTACGACCTTCGAAAGATGATTTTGATCGCCGCGCTCGAACCTGCCGCCCGACCACTCAAGGCGATTTTTTCACCGACTTCGCTTTCAATTCGCACAGCTGTCAGGTGTCGGCCGATCTGGGCTGGGTCCTGCTTATCGCCTCGCGAAGTCGAGATCTACCTACCAGTCGTCGCGCCGACACACGTTCTCGCGCGCGGGACGCGAGCCGCATCGCGCGTTCCCATCTCCGCGCACCCGCAGCGCACGCGCGCGTCGTTCCTCGCGTCTCCTTCCGGTCGGCGGCGGCGAGCGCGATGAGCGCCTCCGCGACGACGCCTCCGCTCGCGGCCGCGTCGACGTCGACGCGCTCGTCCGCGTCCGCGCCCTCGCGCGCTCGAGTCGCGACCGCGCGCGCGCCGCCGCGCCGCCGCCGCGGCGACGCGACGACCGCGGCCGCCGCGGTCGCGGTCGCGCCCGCGGTGACCGGCGTCGACGTCGCCGTCGCGCGCGAGCTCGTCGCGTGGCTGACCGTCGAGAAGGGCCTCGCGGATTCCTCCGCGAAGCTCGTCACGTTCGGCGACGGCGCCGTCCCGACGCTCGTCGCGGACGTCCGCGCGGGCGAGCCCCTCCTCGAGATCCCGCAGAACCTCGCGGTGACGAGCGTGGACGTGAGCGACCACCCGATCGTCGCCGGGCTCGCCGCGGGAAGAGGCGAGCTCGTCGGCCTCGCGCTGTGGCTCTGCTGCGAGCGCGCGAAAGGATCGCTCTCGGACTGGGCGCCCTACGTCAACACGCTCCCGACGGGCTGCACCGTCGATCACCCGCTGCGGTGGGAAGAGAGCGAGATTCGGTCGCTCTTGAAAGGCTCGCCGACGTGCGAGCAGGCGGTGGGACGCGCGGTGGACGCGCGCGAGGAGTACGCGTCGATTCGCGCCGCCATCGCCGCGGACGCCGACGCGTACCCGGCGGACGCGTACGAGTTCCTGACCGAGCTCGCGTTCACGGACGCGCTCGCGACCGTCCTCGCGCGCGCGGTGTGGCTCAACGCCGCGAACGTGTACGCGCTCGTGCCTCTCGTGGACCTCCTGCCCGTCGTCGGCGCGCCGCCGCCGGGGGTGAACCCCGCGGCGGCGGCGGCGGACGCGGGCGCGCGCGGGCTCGACGCCGCCGTCGGCGTCGTCGACTACGACGCCGCGACGGAGTGCGTCGCGGTCGTGAGCGCGAACGACGCGAGGCAGACCGCGCCGGTGGTGTGCGCGGACGCGCTCGGGAGGAACGCGGGCGATCTTTTCCTGAGCACCGGCCGCGTGAACGGCGCGCACGTCGGGGATTACCTCACGTTCGTGACGTCCACGGTGATGAGCGACAAGCTGTACGCCGCGAAGAAGCAGATTTTGGAGGGCATGGGGTACAGCGCCGACGCGCAGGCGTTCCCGGTGTTCGCGGATCGGATGCCGCTGCAGTTGTTCGCGTACATGCGGTTCGCGCGCGTGCAAGAGCCGAGCGAGCTGATGACGGTGTCGTTCGAGGAGGATCGGATCGTGAGCCCGATGAACGAGTACGAGATCCTGCAGCTGCTCATGGGGGACGCGAGGGAGATGCTCGCGGAGTACGAGAACTCCTCCGAGGAGTTTGAACTTTTGCAGTTGAAAGAGACCAACATCAGCGAGCGGCAGATGACCGCGGCGAAGCTCCGGTTGGGAGAGAAGCGGTTGATAAACGCGACGACGACGGCGGTCAGGAAGCGTCTCGCGCCGATCCGAGGGATCCCGACGAAGCAAGGGTTGGAGGATCCGAACGCGGATCTGCTCGAGATTTTCGACGCGATCGAGAACTTGCCGAACAAGCCGAAGCAGATGTTCGACGAGTTCAGGGCGTGGGCGCGCGGAGACTACGAGGATCAGATCCGCGGCGGCGGGAAGGGCGGCGGCGGGAGCGGGTGCGGGTAGTGCTGGCGGGAGCGGGCGCGGGTAGCGCCTAGACGCATCGATTTTTACCCGCCAAATTCTCTCACCGCCGGTCAGCTCGCGCCACCTGTCACGCTCGAAACGACGCGTCATCACCGTTCGTCGTCGTCGCCGCGGACCATACCGCGCTCGCACGCCCTCTCGCCACCCTCGCCGCGTCCTCGAGTGCGTCGTCCTCGAGTCCGTCGCGCCCGCACTCGTCGCACGCGCTCGCGCGATGGCGTCGTCCGCGCGTCCCGCGCTCGCCGTGGCGCCGCGCGCCGCGGCGATCGTGGGGCGGTCCACCGAAGAACGCGTCGAACGTGGAAGATCTCGGAACACCGGATCCTCCTCGTCGTCGCGCGTCCGCGTCGTCCTCCCCGCGGGCGCGCGCCGCGCGTCGTCGCGTCTCCGCGCCTTCGCGGACGACGGGACGTACATCGGCGGCGACCCCGAGCCCGTGGAGAACGTCGGCCTCGGCCTCACGGACGCCGAAATCGCGGCGGTGCTCGCGTCCGCGGACGAGAACGTCCTCACGACCGCGCTGTCCAGGAGCATCGCGGTGGAGGACTACGCGTTCGCGGCGAAGCTCAGCGCGCGGCTCAAGGAGCTGCAAGGCACCGCGGACGAGCCCGCGGGTGAGATCCTGGACTGGCGCGCGCTCGGGATGATGGAGTGGGTCGCCGATCGCGCCGAGTCGCTCGGATTCCGATACCCGACGGCGGTGCAGCGACGCGCGTCGATCGCGTTCCGCAAGAAGAAAGACGTCGTCATCCAGGCGCAGACCGGGAGCGGAAAGACGCTCGCGTACCTGCTCCCCGCGATAGACAACATGGACTTCACCGCGCGAAGGATGCTGCAGATCTTAGTCGTCGTCCCGTCGAGGGAGCTCACGATCCAGACGGTGATGCTCGCGTTTCGAATGTTCGGCGGCAACGTCAACGTCGGCGTCCCGGGGGACCCGGGGAACATATTCAACTACAAAGGCCCGAAGGGGATCTCCGCCGTGGGTGTGTTCGAGGAGTCGCACGCGGAGATGGAAGGGTTCGCGGACGTCGCGGAGATCGTCGTCGGGACCCCCGAGCTTCTGTGCCGGATGAAACTCTCCGGGAAGCTCGAGGTGGATCTCGCGTCGACGATCATCGTGGACGAGGCGGACCAGCTGTTCGAGCAGTACCCGGGCGAGATGGCGGCGCTGTTGAAACCGAGCCCGTACCCGCTCGTGATGGAGGACCGTCAGGTTGTCCTGTGCGGCGTGAACGTCCCGCAAGAGGTCATCTCGACGTGCAAGGAGAAAGCTTTGATGAAGACCAAGCCGCTCGTCGTGTCCATGGGGAACCCCGGAAGAGTCCCGTCGTCGGTCTCGCACCGGCGGCTCGTCGTCCCGAGAATGCGCAAGCTCGTCGCGCTCGCGAGGCAGATTCGCAGGGACGTGAGGATCGCGGGCGAGGACGCGCCGCCGCCGCGGACGATCGTGTTCGTGCCCTCGGCGGAAGCCGCCATGGCGGCGGCGAAACCGCTGCGTAAGTCTCTGTGGGGGAAGCACAAGCTCGCGGTGCTCCTGCCGGACGGCAAGGAGGCGATCAGGGTCATGCAAGACTTCAAGAACCAGCTCACGACGATCTTGCTGTGCACCCCCGAGGTCGAGCGCGGGCTGGACATGCCCGGGGTTGATTTCGTGTACAGCCTCGACGCGCCGTCGTCCACCGCGAGTTATTTACACCGCGCCGGGCGGTGCAGGCGCATCGGATCGACCACGAACGGCGTCGTGACGACCGTGTGCACTTCGGAGGAGGAGTACGTCGTCGACCAGATCATGCTCGACCTCGAGATCGCGAACTGGGAGACGTTGGAGGAGGAGAAGAACGCGCCGAGCGTGGACAAAGCCGCGGCGGCGGCGGCGGCGCAGATGGCGAGGGACAACGACGGCGACGGCGACGGCGAGGAGGGGGGATACGGCGACGAAGGCGACGGCGCGATCGCGGAGGAAGAGCGGGCGCTCACCGCGGGCGCGCTGAACGATCTGTTTTACCTCGTGGACGCGCGCGCGGAGGGTGTGAACATGCTGGAGGATCTTTTCAACGCCCCCGACGCGAGCAAGGAGGAGTCGTACGACGTGGGGGAAGACCCGGAGGAGGAGGCCGAGAGCGAACGTCTGCGCGCGAAGATGGACGACATCAAGAAGCTCTTCAGCGCGGACATCGACGACGAGGACATCGGGTACGGACGCGCGACGGAGGACGCGGCGCCCGCGGCGTCGGCGGAGGACGAGCGCGGCGCCTCTTCGTGGGGTCGGGTCGCCGAGGACGAGAGCGGCGACGGCGAGGGCGAGAGCGTCGTCGGCGAGGTGATGCCGGTGTGGGAGGCGCACAAGTCCCCGGACGGGTACACGTACTACTACAACACGGTCACCGGGAACACGACGTGGGATAAGCCCGCGGGGTTCGACGAGGATAAGCCCACGGGGTTCGGCGAGTGGTAGAGTTAATACAGATTAACAGAAACCAAATCATTCGCCCTCTCGCCTCCCTTTTCGCGAGAAGTACACAAACGTACTCGTACTCGTACAGTAGTGTAGGGCTACTGTACCTTCATAGTACTTTCGTACTTTCGTACGAAAGTACTTTCGTACTATGCTATCAGATACCTTCGGTAACAACTTACCTTCGTATACATGATCGGGCGTGGAAAGGCCTTCGCGATCGCTAGTACGAGGATTCCTTCCGCGACCGCACGCGTCGCACGTCCATCAACGCACCCGCGAAGCGTTGGTGTTCTGGCGCGAGGTCCTCGAACTGTCGATCCTCGTTCTCGTCCGGCGTGAACATCGTCTGCGGCGGCGCAGACGCGTACGCCGGCGCGGAGATCAGCCTCGGTCGCTGCGTCTGCGCCGGCGCGACCTTGTTCCCGACGGGCGCCGGGGCGTGCTCTGCGCCTTCTTTGTCCCGGTACGTGCTCTTCACGCCGCAGCACTGCATGATGAATAACGGCGCGAGCGTGATGAAGACCATGACGACGAGCTCCGCGTTCCCGAACGCCATGCCGAGAACCTCGAGGAGGGGCATCGCGACTTCCCGCGAGCACGCCTGCGGGGTCATCGCTTTCACCCACGCGCACAAGTTGTCTTCGCCGAGCTCGTCGTAAATCTGCGTGAACAACGCGATCACCGCGTCTTCGTTTTTCGAGTCTTGGTTTTCGTAGTGCACGTGCACGCCGTCGATGGGGTCCGCTTTGAGATTCATGCACACGTTAGATGTGATGGCCCGATTGTTCGCCGTCCCTGAGTCCTGGGCACACGTCCCGGTGTTAAACGACGACGCTTTCGCGTTCAAGTAACTCGTGAACCACGCGTCGAAATTGGAGGAGCCGTCGCCGGCGGTCATGTTGTGTTTGCAGTTGAAGTGTTTCTGGGGCCAATCGTCCTGAATGTTCCCGCTTATGCCGACGATACCGGTGCCGGAGATGTCGTAAGCAAATGTGCACTGAGGCTCGCAATCTGACGTGCAACCGGGATACCAGTCGATGCTCTGGTACTCGCGCCCCCACGGTCGGAGCTTCACGATGTGATCGTATGGGGTGGAGTATTTATTCGTGGTGACCTGCATTTTGATCTTGTTACCCGCAGTCGTTCCGCCCGGCCCCCATGTCCATCCTCCAAACCCTTTCGTCCAGGTATCGTACGTCGTCCCGGTGAATTTCTTGAGATCGAGTAAACCTGTGTTAATCCTGTCCGGCTTCTGCAGCTTCGCTTTGCACTCTGGGATCGACCAAGGCGGCAGTCCCGCGGTCTGCGGTCCATATCCGGACTCTGATGTTATCGTCGGCTGGCATACGTACCCGTCGAGTTTGTACCCGTCGAGCGCCACGACTTCCGTCGTTCGCTTCGCGGAGTATAACAAATACGTCCACGCGAACGTTGCCGCGCCTAGGATACACATCGTCAAGAACGTAATGAAAACGACCTTGGGAGTCGAGATCAAGTCCAACGCGTTGAGCTCGTAAAATTTCTCGATGACGGGGATCCGAGACAACCAGGTGCGATCCGGCTTCAACGAACGGATCGGTCGCTGGCTCATTCGGTTTCGTTCCGCGCACAGTATCACGATGATGTTGCTGAGCACCGCGTACACGAGTTGCGCCATCCCGAACGCGAGCGCCGCCGCGTTGAGAATCTTATCTGAGCTGAATTTTTCGAATTTTTCGTCGCACACATACGGCGGCTGTGACTTCGTGTAGTCGCAAATTTTGTCTCCGGCGTGCTCTTTCATCTTCGCCCAAATCTCTACCGCTTGCGCTTTCGTGGACGCGTCCCACGAGCTGCTAGTGCGCGTGACGAACGCGGTCGCGTTAAGACCTTTATCCGTCGAGCGCCACGTCTGGATCTCCCCAGCCGCCTCCCACGCGCGGATACCGGTGCTCCCAAGGTTATACGTCGCAAACTCACTCGGCTTCGTCATGTCCTCGAAAATCGACCCCGGGATTAACGGCGGCGGTCCGCTGAAATCATCCAGCATATAATCTTTACCTGGATCTTGCTCCTTGAAAGGCAGCCACTGAGAATTGTAGACCCGTGTCCCTAAGTTCGTTTCGTCTCTGGCTTCTATGGTTGCGAATGAAACCGTGTCCAAGCTCACGTCTCGTATCTTCGTAAGACATTCCGCATACGTGTGGTTAGTATAAAATCCTTGGTGCGGTTGCGTGGGACGGCAATCGTATCCGTCTAACTCGTGCACGCCGGAAAGAAGCACCCCAATTTCGTAATTACCCGGGTCGGAGAAAAAAAAGAAGAAATACACGAACGAGACGCCGGAAACGACGTACAGGAACAAGGAGATGATCCCCGCGGTCCTATCGCTCGTCACGAACGTCAGGTCATAACGCTCGTTGTACATCTCCGGCGGCAGCGGCAGTTTTTTCACCCAGTGTTTGAGCTCGCCGCGTTCCGTGGGCGTCCCTTTCACGGCCTTGATGAGCGCGATCGCGAGGAAGGTGTACAGGAGCGCGGCCGTGTTATTCGCGAGCGCCAGGATCATCGGCCAATCGTTGCCTTCGCTCTTCGAGCACACGTACGGGGGATTTCTAATCGTGTAATGGCACTTGATCGCGTCGTACGTGGTCATGAGGTCTTTGAACATCTGTATCCAATCCGCGGTGGCCGTAGAGGTCGTGCAATCGGCCGTCACCTGAGTATCACTGCTGCCGAGTTTGATTTGATTGGTTGAGCTATCCTGCGGGGGCGCGCATATTCCGATGAAGTTCTTCGAAGTACGACTGTCCCATCGTATGTACATGCCGTTCGACATGCGCGCGACCGAGTTGACGTTGTCGTCGCCGTGCCACCCGACATTGAAATTTGAACAAAATGATCTGCCACAATCGTTCCCACTACCTCCGCCCGACCCCGGTCCACCGCCTGCGAGGAGGCGGCGACTGCTTGAATGTCCATCTCCTCCTCCTCCTTCACCAGTGAACGGGATGTAATTGCCTTCTTCATCCCCGGCGAGTCCTTCGGTTTTTTGCGTCGCGAACGGGTTGTACACGACTTTTCCGACGCCGTCGGCGGTGGTCCATCCCAACTGAGGGCGATTCCATAAGAAGCGATGTCGGGGTGGAATTTAAAGGCGTCAGTTGGAGTTGAAAGACATCGCGGTGTGTCGGGATTGAAAGCGAGGGGTGGGCGGAGAGAAACGCCAGGAAATGAAAGTCCTTAGACTAAGAAATGGCGTTCACCACGCGAACTGGGTCGCATGGGGACCAGCGCATCCAGTGTATAGAACGCACCTGAGGGTCCTTGCTGAAGTCCTGCGCGATGTTGCGCGAGGAGAAATCGACCGACTCCGTGGAAGGTTCTCGCCAGTTCTTCTCGCACTCGGCCTTGGTGAACGTGTTGCCGTAGAATTCATCCCCGGTGAGCGGCACGCACTCGTACCCCGCCATGGTCGCTTCGCCGGGACTGATCTTGACGTAATTGAGCTCTTGGACGAAATACATGTACGTCAACCCCGCGAACGATATCAGGACGGCGCCGTACAAGATCCAGCTCGCGTAAATGATGACTCGCCTCGACGCGATGAGCTCGAGGTCTTTGTACCGCGCGTACAGCTGCTCGGGAACAGGAATGATGGAGAAGAAAATGTTCGCCCCGCGGCTCCGCGAACCGGGGGCGACGCCTCGCGCGATCGCGTGCGCGGCCCCGGCGGCGCCGAGCGCGCCGATGGCGCCTTGAATCATCTCACCAAGTCAACGACGCGTCCGCTGCGATGCGAAACGAGCGAAGAAGGGGATAAGGTCGAGCGGTCTTCAGTCTCGGACCGGTGGTGGCGACGAATTACGTGTGGTCGTCCCGCGGGCTGGGCGAACTCACGTTCGAGAAGGGAAAGAGACGCACCCGCGCGCGGCGTGCGGCGCGGGCGCGTGCTGAAGCTCTGCGGGCGCGTTTCCAGAGGGACGGACGGGTTCTTTTCCTCCCGACGGCACTCGGAGCGCTGTTGGGAGTGGGCGGGCGGGGCGAACATGCGCGAACGTGCAGTAACGGTATCTTTGCCAATATCTACGTGTAGTCGTCGTACGTACAGTATACACGTAGCCCTCACTTGTTAGCCATACACGTACAGTACGCCGTGATGACTCATGCATCAGTCAACAACCGAGTCTTTTTTTACTTTGAACTCCTCCGCGGCCCGAGAGCTTCACGCACCTAGACCGGGACAGCGCGGCGACGGACGCGCCCGCGACGACGGAGCGCGCGTCTCAGTCGTCGCCGAAATCGTTAGACACGGGAAACTTCAGTGAACGTGCACCCATTGATCTCCACGGTGACGCACCCGACGTCCTCGGGGGCGCTGACGGACGTCTTAGGAATGGGCTCGTGCTCGAGTAAGCCCGGGGAGGTGGGGGCGCTGCCGAGCACCGGTCCGGGATCTGCGGCACCGATAGACCCCGAACTGCAGCGCGCGATCGATTCCACGGCGGCGATGAGTCCGCCGCGGCGACGCTCGAGCGGCGGGGCGGGGAGGACCGCGCAGAGCCCCGGAGGCGGAGAGGTGCGCGAGCACGTCTCGAGATCCGCGCCCCGACGAAACAACGGTTCGATTGCCGCTTTCGCTCACGACTCCCACGCGCCCCTCTCCCTCCCTGTCCCCGCCGCAGCCTTGGGACGACGACCCGGACGTAAACCGACGCGTGATCAGCCACGACACGTCCAGCGCGCCTGCGCGGTTCGAGCCGGTCGTCGCGAAGCCGAGGCGAGGGCCGATGGAACCCGATCCCTCGCCGGAGCCGTCTCCGACGAAACGCGTCGACGTCAACGTCGACGACCGGCCCGCGACCGTGGACGATGGGTCGCCGCTTTCGATCCTCATCGCGCGCGACGACGATCTCGACGACGTAGACGACGACGAGCCGAGGACGCCGGGGGGCGGCCCGCTCACGTTGAAGCGCGCGAGGGAACTTCGAGCCGCGAAGGAGACGGGCGCCGAGGCCGACGATCCGGACGAACCCGCGACGGCGCCGCCGTCCGCGCCGGCGACGCCGGCGACGCCAGGGCCCATGGCGAGAGAGCTGCAAGCGCTCAGGGCGTCGTTGCTGTCGACGCTGCCGCAGCCGAGGGCGGCGGCGCCAGAGGAGGTGAGTGCGTCGCCGCCGAAACCGTCGGACGGTCGAAGCGGCACGGGGTACGACACCCCCACGGGGTCGTTCCCGCCCCCGAACTCGATGCCCATTCTCCCTAAGATTCAAGACAGCGGCGGCGACGAGGAGGATGAGGACGACAAGGAGGAGGACGAGGACGCCGTCGACGCGCGCGCGAGGCAGCCTCGCGCGGCGGCGGCGGGGTCGAACCACTCGCGAAGCGAATCGAAGGACTCGCTCGACTCCGTCTTGGACGCGGTGCTCGACGCGAACGTGTACAAGGACGAGCTCGCGGGGCTCGCCACGAGCTCGCCGTCGACGTCGTCGATGTCCAGGGAAGGGTCGCGCGACGACCTGAGGAAGCAAGGCGGCAGCGGCGGCGGCGGCGCGCTGAAGAATCGGACGCACACCCCGGGGCGCGGGTTAGCCGCGCTTCGAGAGCGCAAGCAGCCGAGGGTAGAACAAGGCGCCGCCGGCGGCGCGGGCGAGCCGTTCTCGCGGCGGGTGAGCTGGAGCGAGCACATTTCCGGGTTGCCGTCGATAGCGCCGCCGGTGCTCGGGGACTCGCGACCGGTGAGCTCGTCGCTGCATTCGCGCCCGGTCAGCGCCGCCGGGTCGGCGAGTCGAGGACTTTCCTCCATCGCGTCCGCCGGGTACGTTCCTCTGGCGTCCTCCCCGGGTTTGAGCGGTCTGGGCGCGCGGCCGGGCTCCGCCGCCGCGGGTCTCATCGGGTTAGGGATGTCGTCCGCGTCGTTACGCGACGCGATCGCGCCGTCGCGCGCGCGCGCGTCGTCCGCGTCCGAGAGGGTCTCCACGTTGGGGCAAGGGTTGGGCGCGACGACGCCGAGGGAGGCGATGGACGAGATGGGGTCCTCGTCGGGGTCCGGGTCGGGGTCCGCGGACGAGAACGTCCCGTTAGGGGGGCACGCGCGCGGGGGGAAGCGGTACGACGCGTCCGCGAGTCGATCGATCGCCGCGGAGGAGGAGGAGGACGCGGAGGAGGAGACGCTCGCGGGGCTTCGGAAATCGATGAAAGCCGCGCAGACGAGGGCGGTGGCGAACGCGAGCGCGAACGGCGCGACGCCGACGAGCGCGCAAGGACGAGGGCTCGCGGCGCTTCGGGAGAGGAAAGGGTTCCAGAGGATGGACGTGCGCGCGGTGATCGAGGCGACGCCGGAGCCGGACGCGCGCGCGGACGTCGTTCCGATCGCGCCCGCGCCGTCGCCGTCGGACGACGACGACGACGACGAGATCGACCTTCCCGGGCTGGACGACCCTCCCGCGCCGGTCGCGACGAAGGCGGCGCGCGGAGACGACGCCGAAGCGATGAAGGAGGCGACGGACGCGGACGCGGGCAGGCCCCATCCCGGGTCGAGAGCCGCGTTCGAGTCGAAGATTCCGCTCCGTCCGTCGTCCGCGTCTGGAAAAGCGAGAAAAGACGCGGCGGCGGGGAAGACGCCGACGTCGGCGAACCCGAACCCGAGCTCGAGCTCGAGCTTCGGATCGGTCCCGCGCCCGGTGTCCGCGAAGGGAGCGCCGGGCGCGGGCGTGATCGGGTCGTCCAGGCCAAACTTCAGTCAGAGCGCGAAGCTCGCGCCCACGGTCTCCGCGGGGTACAAACCGCCGCCGAAGCCGACGCGCGTCGCGGGAGCGGTCAAGGCGAAGTCGAAGCCCGCGGGCGCGGCGGCGAAGACGGCGAAGATTAAACCCCCCGCGACGGCGCCGGCCGCCGCCGCCGCCGCCGCCGCCGCCGCCGCCGCGTCGGAGGAACCGCCGAAACCGAAGAAGGAGACGTTTCGGAACCGCCTCAACGCCGCGCGGAGCGTCGTCGCCGCGGAGGAGGATGAACTTCCCGCGGCGGCGGCGGCGGACGACGCCGCGGACGAGCCCACGGCGGAGCCGATACAGACGGTCACGCCGATGAAGCTGAAGGAGACGTCCCCCGATCGCGTCGCCGCGACGGCCGACGCCGCGCGGCCGAAATCGGACAACAAGTGGGCGACGCGATCGATCGAGGCGCGCAACCGGCTGCGACGGCACCGACGGTCGACGTCCGCGAGCGTGGACGCGCCGCCGACCGCGGAGGCGATCGCCGCCGCGGAGGAGGAGGCGAGGCGCGCCGCGGAGGAGGAGGAGGCGCGCCGCGCCGCCGCCGCGTCCTCCGCCGCCGCGATGGTCGCGCGACTCGGCAGCGTCACGAACGTCAAGCCGCGGTCGTCGAGCTCGAGCTCGGTTTCAAAGTCGAAGACGAACCTCGCGCCGCAAGACGCCGAGGCGGCGAGACGCGCGGCGGAGCACGCCGCGGCGTTCGCGCGCGCGGAGGCGGAAGAGGCGGCGAAGAAAGCCGCCGCCGCGGCCGCCGCGGCGACGACTGCGAGCGGCCACCCGGTCGTCCACGGTTTGGACGAGGCTGAGCTCGTCCTGAGGATGGGGTCTCTGGCGTCTGCGGAGCAGCTCGCGAGCGCGCGCGCCGCCGTGGCGCGAATGTCCGACTTGCTCGAGAAGGTGGAGCAGACGTCCAAGCGACTTCGCGTGGAGCCGCAGAACGTGTTCGGGCATCTTCTCATGCGCGGTGGCGTCCCCACGGACCCGGTCAGCGCGGCGGTGCAGATGGACAAGGCGGTGTCGTTCGAGACGCTGCAGCGCATGACGGCGGCGTGCGTCGAGTTGCGGTCGCTGCTGAGGATCAAGGTGCAGGATAACAACGATCTCGCGCTCGCGGACAAGGCGCTGAGGGAGACGACCGCGTTTTTCGCGAGGTTGGACAAGGCTGCGGCGGAGGCGGACGTGGCGCCGCACGCGCTGTTGCTCGCGCAGCGGCCTGAGAGCGCGAGGGAAAGGTGGCGAGGCAGACGGTGACGACGTGCAGTAGTATTATAACACGACGTCTTCTCGGTTTGATAGCGGTACGTGTACACGCTTGAGTCTGCTCCTCGCGCTCGCTCAGTAGAACGGCGGGAGGAGCTTGAACGGCCTCCTGAACCCGGGGAACAACCGTTTCAGGCGCTTGTGCTTCGCGTTCGCCCAGTCCATCATCTGAGCGGCCCCGCACGCGACGAACAGCCAGCCCATCGCGCTCTGCGTCGCGACGTTGAACCCGACCCACTGGTAAATTTCGCAGCAGTAATTCGCGCACGTGACGAATCTGAACAGCCCTCCCTTCGGCTCTTTGTACTCCTTGCTCCCGTCCTTCCTGAGCGACGCCTGGTAGACGTGGCAGTGCAAATTCCCGAGTTGCATCAGCGCGGAGACCGCGAACCCGACCTTCATCTGCGTCTCGGAGACTGGCGTGTACGCCGGGTGATTGATGAAATACGACATGATCGCCGCGAATCCCCAGTAGTACGCGCAGTTCCGGTACAAGTTGAAGATCGGCATCGTCGCGTGCGAGAAGTGGTGCACGAACAGCGTCTCGAGGATGCGTTTGAGGTAGTGCGCGGTGTGGAAAACCATCGCGAGCGTCTGGACCTGAAGCATCGGCGCGGTCGCGGGGTACTTCTTCGTGGACGCGTAGATCGCGGATCGGAAAAAGTAAAACGGGAGGTAGCACAGCATCGGGCCCGCGTACTCGGCGAGGAACACCACCGCGTACGGGACCTGCGGGCCGAGGTCTTTGAACACGACGACGCTGCCGTCTTTCAGGCCGTAGTCTTTGGACAGCGACTTCCCCGCGTCTAATGGCGTGCCGCGAACTTTCTTGGGGTCCGCGCCCGCGGGAATCGGCAGGGTGAAGCGCTGCCTCGTCTGATGCTTCTTCGCGGCTTTCGCGAAGACAGCCTTCAGGTCGTCCGTCGTCGCGTCGTCCGGGACGTCGAGGCCGCCCGCGAACATCTCTTTTCCATTGCGCTTGACGATATTAAGCTTCATGCTCGCGGTTTGGCCTGATGAGTCGGCGGGCGCGCGATGGAATTATGATGATAGTGTGGGGTTTCGGCGAGTCATCACTCATCGAAGACATCATTTTCAAGATTCTGTCTCGTCACAGCTTCACCGCGGACGCGAGCCAATTCAAGTTGCTCATCGTCTCGTGAAAGTACTCCGCCAACACCTCCGCCGGGTCCGCCTTACCCTCCGCGTCCTCCTCCATGTCCACGCCCTGCCCGCCGGCGCCGGACCCGAACGTCATCACGAACCCGACAGCTGAACCCGCCGTCGGGTACACCCGCTTCTTGCCTGCGTCCCTTCTCGCGTCCGCGCAGTGCAGCGCCTTCAACCTCCTCACGACGAGCTCGGTGAACGCGCGCGCGGCGGGGGACGTATCCGGCGCCCCCGCCTTCTTCGCGGTCATGAAGAGCAGCGCTTCCCAGCACCGTCGCATCTGCGGCGCGCACAAGCACAGCTTGGCGCGCGCGAGCTCCGCGACGTCGCTCGGGAGCTCGAGCGCGGCGATCCCGGCTTTACCGTCGCCGTCGCTCAGCGTCGACGCTTTCGCCGCGCACCGCTGCACCGCGGTCATCACCTCCGGGATCGCGATCAGCGCGCGGACGTCGCTGACGTCGCGCAGACGCTGCAGCTGCGGCGTCGGGTCCTCCACGGTGACGTCTTTGTGGCCTTTGCTCGCCGCGTTGACGCGCATGGCTTCGAGGATCTTCCCGCCGAGGCCTTTCCTCTGGAACGGCGGGAGGACGACGATCTGCGACAGCCGCGTCCGCGTTTTGTCCGGGTACACGTAGAACTGGTACGCGGTCGCGAACGCGGTGAGCGTCCAGTCGTTCGGGTTCTTTTTGCTCGCGCGAATCGTCGCGAACAAGAGCCACTTTTCATCCTCGGTGTCGATCGCGGACGCGCCGTCGATGTAAAACAGCGTGAACGGCTCGAACCGCGCGTGCCACGGGTACACGTCCTCGTCCGCGAGCTTGAACACCCGCACGGTGCACTCGTGCTCGTCGTCGCCGTCCGCGGTCCAGCGCGAGACGACTTCGCCGCCGCCGCCCGGGATGGGCGCCGACGCGTCCTTCGCCAGCGCCGCGAGAAACGCGTCTCTGTCCACGAGCATCTCGTCCCCGAAGTGCTTCCTCAGCGCGGCGACGACGTCGTCCGCGGGGTTCAGCGTGGACTTGACCTTCTCCGAGTACGTGACCTCGACGTACGTGCGGAACGTCCCCGCGGTCGCGTACACGTTCACGCGTAAGTCTTTGTATCCGAAGATCGTCTCATCCTCGCGGAAGATCTGGTGCGTGAACTCCGGCTCGAACGCCTCCGCGGTCGTCATCTCCTCCGCGGAGGACACGAGGCGGAACGTCACGACGTCGTTCGCGTCGCACACGAACGGGTTCGCGGGTTCCTCGGACGCCGCCGCGGGAGGCTCGGCGGCAGCGGGCGTCGGCGTCGAGACCGCGACGACGGGCGCGGGAGGCGCGACCGCGGACGGGACCGCGGAGGGGGGGGCGCCGCCGGTCATCTTCGCCTCGAGCTTGCGCCGTTTCGCTTCGATTTGCTCCTCGATCGTGGACGCCATCGTGCGCGGCGGGGTCGTGCGCGCGCGGGGGAGCGTGCTGCTCTGCGACGCGGCGGAGATGCGCGCCGGATTTTTGAACTCAGAAAAAACATACGGTCAACTATCAACGCGCACCTTTGAACTGCCTTCAAAAGTTCCCTTTGGAAACTGAAAGTCTGAAACCAAATTTAAGCTTCTGGCGACGCGACGCGACTAAACGACGTTTGGAGCCGTCGACTGTCGCTTCTCGATGCCGCCGCCGCTCGCGTCTCGCACGACACCACTCCGACGGCACCGCGATGGCGTCTCCGCTGATCGCCCCGCGCACGACCCCCACTAGCGTGACCTCCGCGCGCGCTCCTCCCGCGCGCCGCCTCGTCTCCGCCCGCGCGGTCGCGATGCGCAAGGCGTCCGACGCCGCGCTCGAGGCGCCTCCGATCCCCGCGCCGCATCATCCGACCTACAGCATCGAGGACGCGATAAAGCTCGCGCTCGAGGAGGACGTCGCGGACGTGGGCGACATCTCGTCGCTGAGCACGATCCCCGTCGAGACCGTGTCCACGGCGACGCTCCTCGCGAAAGCGGACGGCGTCCTCGCGGGGCAGCACCTCGCGGTGATGATCCTGCGCGCGGTCGATCCCGACGTCGAGGTGAGATTCGCGAAAGTCGACGGCGACACGATCGAGCGCGGGGAGATCTTCTGCGAGATGCGAGGCAAGGCGCACAGCATCCTGCGCGCGGAGAGAGTCGTCCTGAACTTCATGCAGCGGATGTCCGGGATCGCCACGCTCACGAAGAAGATGGCGGACGCCGCCGCGCCCGCGTTCATGCTCGAGACGAGGAAGACCGTCCCCGGACTGCGTCTGCCCGACAAGTGGGCGGTGCTCATCGGCGGCGGGAAGAACCACCGCATGGGCCTCTTCGACATGATCATGATCAAAGACAACCACATCGCCGCGAGCGGGGGGATCAAATCCGCGGTCGCGAACGCGCAGGCGTACTTGGCGAAGACGAAATCCCCCGCGAAGATCGAAGTGGAGACGAGGACGCTCGAGGAGGTGGACCAGATCCTGTCGCTGATCGACGACGAGACGTTCGACACGTCCGCGGTGTCTCGGGTGATGCTCGATAACATGTCCCTCGAGGATATGACGACCGCGGTGAAGAAGATCGCGGGAAAGGTGGAGACCGAAGCGAGCGGGAACGTGACGTTGGACACCGTGCACGCGATCGGACAGACGGGGGTGACGTTCATCTCGTCCGGCGCGTTGACGCACTCGGTGATGGCGCTCGACATCTCGCTGAACATCTCCACGGAATGACGGGAGGTTGTGTTTGTTTGCTGTGTTGTGTTTATTTTCCACTAGTAACCGGGTTGGTATTATCATTTTTCCGGGGGCGCCGCGGCGCACCCGTCTAGTGCGCGTTCGTCACTCTCGCTTCTCGCGTTTCCCTCCGAATCCCAACACCTTGACGATCATGAGCCGGAACCAAAACGCGTTCAGACCCGCGCCCGCGAGCAGGATGCTCATGATCGCCGCCCTCGCCCCCGCGGGAACCGCCGCGTGCGCGGCGTGAAACCGCAGCGTGTGCGCTAACCCCGCGCCGAAGACGCACACGCGGACGACGAAAAACACGAACACGAACGTCTTCGTGACCGCAGCCTCCAACGCGCCGGCGGCTTCCTTCGCCGTCGCCGTCTTCGCCTCGGCGTCGGCGTCGGCGTCGGCGTCGGCGTCGCGCCTCGATTGGAGGAGGTTCATTCGCGTCGCGACCGCGGCGAGCGTCGGGGAGTCTAAACCCGCGAGCGTGCGGATGAACCATCGAAGCGCGAGGAGCGGCGTGGAGAGCTCGCCGGCGAGGAGCCACGAGAACGGGAACAAAAACGATTGCGTCCCGCCCGCGAGGATCGCGCACGCGATGAAGACGAGGTGGTGCGCGACCATGTCCGCCTTCCCGAGCTTCGGGTACTTGACTAAGACGTGCGCTAAGTCGTCGGTCATGTACCCGAAGAACAGCCAGTTCGTGAGCTCGATGACGTTTAACGTGAACCGCGACGGATCCGCCCAGCGGTCGTTGACGTAAAACTTGTCGTAGATCGGGTAGTTCCACGTCTCGCGCATGATGAACAGTCCGAGGACGGAGATCACGACCGCGTGGACGAAGGACATGACGTGCGACGGCGCGAGCGCGGCGAACTCCGCGTGTTTGCCCCCCTTTCCGCACGTCGCGCGGTACCGACGACGGTACGCGAATCCGACGAGCACGCGAGGCACCTCCCACACGAGCGCGTTCACGAGCAGCGTCCGCGCGAAGCGCGCGGGGTCGCGCAGGTTCATGCTGTACGGGCCGTCGTAGCGCACGCGGCGGGGGATCCCGCGCGCGAGTTTCGACGGCATCGCGGTTCGTGCGGTTCGCGCGGTGCGGGGTGGACAGTGAACGCGTCGAGAAGTCGCGCGGACGCGTTCGTTTGTTCGGGGGTGCAGTGGTGACGTGACTGACACGACTCTCAAGTTTATCATTTCACAACGCCCGCGCCCGCCTCTAGTCGTCGTACTCGATCCGACTCCTGGAATTGGACGACGGCGACTCGTGGTCGTTCAGCGCGGAGCCCACCGTGGACTTCTCGTCCTTGATCTTCTGCAGCTCCTTCTCCTTCTGCCTCGCCCAGTCGTCGAGCGCTCTTCCGAACGCGTCCGCCGCCGCGGCGAGGTCCTCGCGTTTTTGCTTCGACCGCGTCGCGAGCGACCCCAAGACGTGCGACTCCGCAGCCTCCTCCTTCGCGCGCTTCAGATCCGCGATCGAGGCTTTGTAGTGCGACGTCGCGTCGTTCAGCTTCGCCCTGCACTCCGCGACGTGCTCCTCGCGCTTGTCCGTGAGCTCGAGGCCCAACGCTTTCGGCAGCGCCGCGATCGCCTCGTCTCTCCTCGCGTCGCCCTCCGCCGTCGCCGCGGACGGCGGCCGGCTCAACTTCCCGTGCTGCTCCTTCCTCTTCGCGTACGCGTGCTTCGCGCGCTCGATCTCGAGGTACTGTTCCTTCGTCCTTCTCTCCGCCGCGTCTCTCGCGCGCTGCGACTCCGCGACGAGGTCCTCGGCCATCTGTCGGAACCGTTGCTCGCGCGCGCGTTCCGTCTCCGCGACGCGTCGCGCCTCCATGTCCGACGCGCTCAGCCTCTCCGCGTTCTGCCTGAGCGTTCGCTCCGCCTCGATCGCCTCCTCCGCGGCTCTCAAGTCCGCGCTCAGCGCGCCGATCAAGCTCCGAAGCTTATCCTCCTCGCCCTTTCTCTCGTCTCTCAGCGCGTTCACGAGCGTCTCGTGCGTCTCCTTCAACGCCGCGAGCTCGTCCTCGTGCGAGTCCTTCAACTTTCTCACCGTCGCTTCGTACTCGATCCCAGCCTCGTTCACCGCTTCCGTGCGCAGCCTCGCGAAGTTCTCGCGGTCGTCGTCCTTCGACTGCACGAGCTTTTCGAACTCTTCGAGGCGAGGCGCGAGCTCCGCGCGCGCTTCCTCGACGGCGTGCTCTTTCCTCTCCTCCGCGCGTTTCAAGTCATCCGCGTGTTGCTCCGCCTGGCGCGTCATCTCCACGCGGTGCCTCGCCGTCGCCGCCTCGAGGGCTTTCACCTTCTCCTCCGCGGCCGCGGCGAGCGCCATGGACATCTCGCGCTGGTGCTTCGCGAGCCCGAGCTGGAGCTCTTCTTTGATTCGGCGATCCGTGTGTTGCCTTCGAACTTCATCCGCGACGTCTTCGCGCTCGGGAATCGCCTTCTCCGCGACGTCCTCACGCTTCTTCCTCGCGTCTCGCTCCGCTTTCACCGCGTTCAGCTCTCGCTTCAACGCCGCGATGTCGGTCTCGAGCTTCGCCTGCGTCTCGGACATCCACCGGTTCGTCCCGCTTCGCGCGCGTTCCTCCGCCTCCGCGGTGAGCTTTTGCGCCGTGGCGACGCGTTTCTCGACGCCGTGACGCGTCTCGATCTCCCGCCGCGCGTCCGCCTCGGCTTTGTACCGCGCTTTTCTCTCCTCGTCCGCTTGGAGCTCCGCGACCCTCCGCGCGTCTTGCTCCACGCGAAGCATCGTCTGGACCTTACGAAGGGACTCTTCCATCGTCGCCAGGAGCGCGGCTTTCTCGTGCTGCTCCATCAGCAGGCGGTCGGCTGCGAGACGGGTTGGATTTTGGATTTTGGGATTACGGGACGACGCGAGGGACGAGGTCAGCGTCGGAGGTCAGCACGCCAGCCGTCGTCGGGGACGGTGGACGGAGGGGAATCGTCTACGCAGATGCGCCGCGTGCGCACCTTCGTCCATCTTGCGTCGCAGCTCCGCTCGGTCTTCGTAGCTCGTGTCCGCGGCCGAGGGCTTTCGCGACCTCGCTCGGGACAGCGAGCTCGTGCGCTCCAACCCGGAATCGAACTCGCCGTTCGCCTCCGTGACCGGTCGACCGCGCGGGGAGACGTTCTCGTGCTCGCGCTCAACGCGTCGGGATCTTCGCGGGGACCTCACGGGTGACGTCGCGGGGCTGATCTCCTTAGGGCTCGAGTTCTCTGCGGGCGACGGCGCTTCATTCGGCGGTCGTTGGCCGAAGGGGGCGCGGGATTCCCGTGGCGACGCCGGCTTCGCGGGGGGTGGAGGAACCGGCGCCGCGCCCATGGGCGTCGCGCTCGGGAACGACACCGGCGCCGGCGGCTGTTTCTTCTTGCCTCCGAAGAAACCCATCTCTGCCGTGGAGGGCGGATGGAAGGGCGGTCGCGACGAAGTCCGCGCGCGCGCGACAGTCAACGAAGCGTTTCTCCTCGAGCTTCTTCTGCTGTTTGTTCCCCTGGTACCTGCTCCCGGTCAGTTTCGCCCCGATGCCGGTCAACTGCTTCGAGAAAATGGGTCAACGACGCGTTTTCACCCATTTGAAACCAAAGGATCATCGGTCGGGTCAACCCTCGGAACCTCGGACAGTCGGAGCGCGCGCGCGACTGTCGCGGGTCCACACTCCCACAACGCCGCCGCACGCTCTCGTGCACCGCCCGAGGGTGAGATGGACGACGAATCTTATAAGCGCCGTCGGGTCGATCCGTCCGCGCCCGAGGCGCCGGGCGTCGACGTCCTCGGTCGCCGCGGGGTTCGTACGTCAGTGTAAGCTTAACCGTATTTGAGAAGATAAAGACGTCAATTACAAACGGGTTGCTGGATACCTTCGAAGGTAACTATCACTCCTATAATCTTCTCAGGTTATTTTTTTGGATTTTTTACGCGACGCCGTTCGAGAGGAAGGGCTCGTCCGAAAACGAGCCCCGCCTCACGACGGCGCGCTCTTTTTTTTATTGCGCTTCGGTCGGTAGGGTGAAATGAACCCGAAGGGTTCAGCCCTTACTAGCGTGAATTAACTACCGTCAATTCACGCTAATTCTCGGCGTGAAGGCCGGGGCCACCGGCGGCGGCTTCTTTCGCGGCAACTCCGAGTCGCGCGCCGGTACAGCTCGGACCGGTGCACCCAGGGGGCGTTGTGAAATGGGGATTGTTCCACTGGCAGTAACCGCCGACGGCCTCGTCATAAGGAGAATCGACACATCTTCCTGGTTGCCCCATGACGAAAGGCCACATGCAGCCCCTACCTGGGCCAGGTCCGGGCATACCAGCTTGTTTTTGTTCCCTGGTCTTGCAACGTCGATCATCCAAGCAAAATGCATACGACATGCCCATGGTTGGGTAAGACGCAGACGTTGACATGCCCGGGGTTGTGGGTGGGGTGTCCTCATTGATTTCAACGCATCGGCCCCGCGCATCGCGAATTCGTACCCATGCACCTGACGCGTCAGGTCCCCACTGTTCCAGGTAGCAGGTTTGGCCGTCGGTCAAGCCGCGGTGTCCGTGCTGCTTCTCTTCTGTTGTCGCGCACATCCGCCGATTTCCCCACGGAGCCACACTGAGCCGCGGAGCAGGCATTGGAGACTCTAGAGGAACATATGTAGGCGCTGACATGACTGGCGCTGAATTGACTGTGCATTGCCCGACAGCGGGACCACATCGACCTCGTTCGTTATCGTTCAAGCACGGCGCGCAAGTAGAACGGCCATCGGCTTGTGAACCAGCACATGCCGGGCAAGGGTACCACTTAAAATCTGGACCTGCATTTTCCATTTCCATGTACTTCTCATCATCTTCGTCCGAGGTTGTATGGACGTAAGCATCGAGTGGATTCGAGCCAACAACTTGGATATCCGTCGTCTGGCACACTCCCACGTCAACGCACCGTCCTCGGAGCCCACCAATCATGCACGGCGGGCACGACAAGATGTCTGAAGGTGTTGGGCAGACCCCACAAGGTTTCCAGCTGTGTGATAAGAAATCAGTTTAAGAATAGAAGAAAGTTCGCGCGTGAGGTGCGCGAGCGAATCTGACGGATGGTGAGCAGTGTCGAAGTGGTATAGATAGTATTGAAAAATGAGCGACGTACTTGAAGTCTGGACCCGCGTTTTCCATTGCGACGTATTGGGCTTCGACTTCAGCCGGAGTGAGTCCGAGTGCGGAGGCGGAGTTGGATTGAAACGTGTTCGTTCGAGAGAAAACAAGGATAGCACCGAGCGTGCCTACGATGGCCACGGAGGCAACGGCTGTGACGATGGGCCATTTGCGTGCCGGCTTCCTCTCGAGGAGCGGCGTGACTTCTTTGACGATGGGAGACATAGTATCTTTCAATACTTCTGCAGTGTGTGCGCGCGACGCGCGTGGTGTGAGATTCCCCGAGCAGCGGTGGAGTGAAAACCTAAGTTGTAGATACGGTATCGTGTCCCTTCGCAAAAAACCGGACGTCAGAAACGAGATTTCTACACGTACTCGTATGAGCAAATAGTCAAGAATGTTTTTGCGACCCCCATGACTCGAAAAAAATCTCCAAATCTTCCAGAAATCTGTGGTGTTACGAAAATATCTTTTGGTAAGATATTTTGACGCGAAGGGTCCGCGCGCTGAATACGAGTCTGAGCGCGTTCGACGACGACGTTCGAGCGGACTGGACTTCCGATTCTAACTCACTTCACCCCCACGGCGACGTACTTCCTCTCGAAGCGCTTCACGCGCCCGTCCAGCAGCGAGTCGACGAAGAACTCGTGAAACAAGACGGGCACGCGGAGCCGCTCCGCGAGCCGCTTCAGCTCCCCCGGGACGACGCGGCCGCCTTGTGCGATCAAGTAGTCGCACGCGCCGCCGCCGCCGCCGCCTTCGTCGTCGTCGTCGTCGTCCATCGCCGCCAAAGCTTTCGGGTCGACGACGTCCGCGCCCGCGTGACGCAGTAAGAGACCAAACTCGCGCGTGAACCGGTCGTCCCCGCACAGCGCGGCGACGCGCCCGGAGAAAAGCCCTCCGTCGTCGTCGTCGTCGTCGTCGTCGTCGTCGTCGTCATCCGACGCAATCGCGGCGTGTCGTTTCGATAACAGCACCCCGGGCGGCGTGCTCGCTGGGGACAGCGCCCTCCCCGCGTCCAAGCTCGCGGTGATCCAGTCCGGCTTCAACAGCGGCGCGCCCACCGCGGCGGCGTACAAGTGTTTCAGCGTCCGTCCCGGCTTCGGCGTGATCACCCGCATCCGGACGCGCGCGCGCCTCGGAGGCGCCGCGAACTGGCTCATCCGCGCGCCAACCTCCGGGGACGACGTGAAGTTATCCGGCGTCTCCGGCGGAGGCACCTCGGCTTCGACCTCGCCGCCGTGCAGCTCGATGAGCTCCGTGAGATCTTCGACGTCGTTTTTACTCGGCATCCCGGACAGGAGAAACGTCATCCCGGCGAACGTTTTCGTCGGCTTGCGTCGCTTGCGCGCGGACGCGGACGCGGTCGACACCGCGGACGCCGAGGCCGGAGGTCTGCCGCGTTTCTTCGCGCCCGATGACGTCTGCGGCGTCCGCGCGTGCAGCTGGTTCGTCAGCACCGTCTTGCGACGCTTACTCACGGACGACGGGGGATCGCTCGAGAGGTGCCCGCCCGGGCCCGCGGCGTCTTCTTTTTCGAATCGGACGCGGCATTTCGGTCGCGTCGAAGCGGTCGCCGCGACCGCGCCTCGGCCGCCTCTGCCGCCGCGACCGCCTCGGCCGCCGGAAGAGGTCACGGCGGACGCGCTTCGACCGCCGCGACCGCCGCGACCGCCGCGACCGCCGCGACCGCCCGCGGTTTTCCACGGCAGTGGCGTGCCATTCAGCTTGTGATCCACGATCGCTCGGCACCTACCGCAACCGTTCTTCGCGTGGCGGCACTTGGGGCAGCCGAGTTTGATCTCGAGGCTGCGCGCGCTCGCCGGCGCGTCCGCGAGCGCGTCGTCGTCGTCGTCGGACATCGCCGCCGGCGCGTCGTCGTCCTCGTCCTCTTCCTCGTCGCTGTCTCGCATCGGGCTCGCGTCAGGGAAAGCTTGAGTGCCTCCGACGTACCACGGATCCGCATCCTCGTCCTCGTCATCCTCCTCGTCGTCGTCTTTCCCTTCTTCCGCGTCTACGTCGTCGGAAAGTACGACGACATCTGGCGAGTCCTGTCGCCCGGCTTCGTCCCACGGGTCCTGGCTACGTTCCACGGCGTCGTCGGAGTCGGACTCGGACTCGGACTCGGACTCGTCGCCTTGCGACTGCGAAGGGAACTGGCTATCCCCGAAAAACTTTCTCGGCTTTCGCGTCCTCGCCGGTCGACGGTCGCTCACGGGCAAGGCCCCGAGCATGAGACGACCCGCGCCGTCGTCGGGGTCTGGATCGCTCGCGTCGTCGTCCTCGGAGGTTTCGTTCGACTGCGACGGGTACTGGCTGTCGCCGTAGAAAGTGCGTTTCCTCCGTTGCCGCGTCGAACGTCGCGCGTCCGCGTCGGCAGCCTCGCTTGCGCGCCCGCGCCCGCGCCCGCGCCCGCGCCCGCGCCCGCGCCCGCGCCCGCGCCCGCGCCCGCGCCCCCTTCCTCCGCCGCGGCCGCCGCGAGGCGCCGCCGCCGGCATCGGCACGACCGCCTCTTCGTCTTCTTCTTCAAACCTGAAAGGATCTGTGAACGCGTGCTGCGACGGCGCGTCCGCGTCGACGTCCATCTCGTTCGCGCTCGCGTTCGCGTTCGCGTTCGTTCTCGCCCTCGCGTCCACCTCCGCCGCCTGTGACGTGGACAGACCAGCCGCGTCCGCGACGACGTCCCTGACCTGCTGCGACTCCATCACGCAGACGTCGGGGGATTCGGTATCGTCCGTGGCTTGGTGCACCGCGGCCGCGGCGGCGCCGGCCCACCCTCCCGCGCGAGCGACGCCCTCGCGCGCGTTTCGCGCGCGCGGCGGCGCCGCCTCGGACGTCGCGGGCTGGTACGATAGAGAGAACGGGGTGAACGGGTCGTCCCCCGCGGCGCGGGTCTCCGCGTCCGCGGTCGCGTCGTTCCTCCGTCCCTCCGCCGTCGGCGCTTGCGTCTCGACGACGTTGGACGTCATCGACTGCGTCTGTTTCTCGGCCGACTTTCCGTCCGCGGGCGGCTGCGTCTCCGTGGCGAACGACGGGAGCGTCTCCGCGAGCGCGCCGTTCGCGCCGGCGGCGACGTCGAACTTCGCGCTCGCGTCGACGACGTCGTCGTCGCCGTCGTCGTCGTCCAGGTCGTTCGGCGGACCGAGCGACAGACTCATCCCCGCGAGACCTCCGAGATTGACGTTTCTTCGCTCGCGCGCGCTGATCGCGGCCGCGGCGGCGAGGCCGCGGACGCGCGCGGGGAGACGCTTTCCCGCGCCCGGGGACGCCGCGATCGACATCGGGACCTCGTCGTCCGCGTTTTCATCCGCGCCGCGCGCGTCGAACCGCGGCGCGGTCGGGGGTAACGTCGACTCCACCGTCGCTGTCGTCGTCGTCTTCGTCTTAGCCGCGGTCGGCGGCGGCGCCTCTTCGCGCGTCGCCGCGGCTTCTGCGGCGACTAAGTGCAGCGGCATCGCGGGCGATCCCCCGAGCGTGGACGGCGTCATCGTCGCGCCGCCCGCGCCGCCGCGCGTCTGCAACCCCGGCGGAGGAAACGTCGACGGAATCAGCGAGCACATGACGTCCTGCGCGGGCGTGCACGCGGGCGGCTGCGTGTTCCCCGTGGCGGGCGCGCAGGACGACAGGACGACGTCGACGGAGTACGGGTCCGACGCCGCGACCGGAGGCGGCGCTGTCGCGAGCGGCGACGCCGCGGGGCGTTCTTCCGCGGCGTCTCGCGTCGTCGCAGGCGGATCGTGCGCGCGCGCGGACAGACGACGCACCGCCGCGGGCTTCGCGGCGACGCGCAGGAAACCGGGTTGTCCGGGTTTAGGGCTCGACGCGGTCTTCGGTGCGTCTTCCGCGCGCGCGACCGACGCGGGGACGGCCCCGGTCCCGGCGGCGGCGACTTCGAGGGACGGCGACGCCGGCGGCGGCATCGCCTGGGTCCCGCCCGTCCAATCGAACGCGTCGCCTTCTTCGTCTTCGTCCGCTTCCGCGTCGCCGTCGTCGTCCGTTCCGTCGTCCGGCGCCCACGCCTGCGTGCCGCCGGCGTAAAACACATCCTCCTCCGCGTCTTCGACCTCCTCCTCCTCCTCCTCCTCCTCATCGCGCTCTTCTTCGACGTCGCCCAGTCGCGCGCCGCCGCCGCCGCCGCCGCCGCCGCCGTCGTCGTCGGCGGCGGCGGCGGGGGTCTCCTCCGCCGCGAGAACGTCCGCGGAGAACGTCACCGTCGGTGGTTTCGACGCCACCGGCGGCGTCGACGTCGTTCCAGACGCCGCGCGCGCGCCGGCGTCGTGCTGACTCGCGCTTCCCACGAACCGCGGCGGCGGCGGCGCGTTTTGGTTTTCGGTTCCCTCCGTCGCCGTGCACGTCGTCGTCGTCGTCGTCGTCGTCGTCGTCGCCCCGAGGCTTTCCCAGCCGTCTTTCGAGAACCCGACGTCGTTCAGCGCTTCCGCAGAGTCTGGCGAGGACGAGCACGGCGCGCCTCCGCCGCGTTCGGTCGCGTCGGTCGAGATCGAGGCGCCTCCTCCTCCCTGAGATCCCTCCAGGCCGAGATCCAGACGCGCGGCGTACACCGCGGCGACGGCGGACTTATCCGCCGCGACCTCGCCGCGGAGGACGTCGTTCATCACCGCCGTCTCCGTCGCGGTGACCATCGCGGAGACGGCCGCGCGCTCGTCCCCGAGCGTCGCCGCGGTCGCGGTCGCGAGGACCGTCGCCTTCGCGTGTTCGATGTCGTCCGCGAGAAGAAGTTTTCGAAGATGATGATGATGATGTCGCGGGGCCGGCGCGCTGTTCTCGACGTCGGCGTCGTCGCATCTCAGGGTGTACTCGTGCGACATGGACTGCGACGGGACCGCCGCCGCCGCCGGGGGTAGACTGGACGACGTCATATTTACTATCCGAACGTCGTCGTCGTCCACGCACGCCGGCCCGTCGATTTGATTTGGCAACCTCTCGAGCGCTCCTCTCTTCGTTCTTTGCGCGTTTTGAAGTTTGCTGGTTTGGTATCGAAGGCGTTTGTTTTACTCGCACATGAAGTGATTTTCGAATTATCTGAAGGTCACGCTCCGCTAATTAAATTTCCCTTGCCAAAAGTACGAAATTGTGACTGAATACGCATACAAATTGCAAAAACGTACTTTCGTACGCGCCCACGCGCCGTCGCTGCGCGGATTGATTTAAAACTTTGTCACGATGTTGTCTATCATGTCGATGATGTCCTCTCAAAGTTTCGCGATTTTAGAAGGCCTGGAAGGCGGTTTTCGGAACCCTCGGCGACTTTTTTAAAAAAGGTCCTTTCTGCAATATATATCATAAATCACCACTCGAAAGATTCGATCTGCACGTCCACGCCCGTGGTCTTCCGCATGGCCCTCAACATCCTCACCACGGTCGCGGCGCCGCCGCAGTACAAAATCTGATGAGGGTCGTTCCATCGTGCGAAACGACGTCGGGGCGGAGTTGAAAGGCGTCAGATGGATGGAATTGAAAGGCAGGCGTCGAAGTGCTTCGGGATTGAAACCGGCGAGGGACCCTGGGCGGAGAGAAACGCGCGCGGCCGGGAAAAGTCCTCGAGGATCGGCGTGCACCGCGCGGACGGGGTCGTGCGGGGACCGGCGCGAGGAGAACGAACGCGCCTGAAAATTCTCGAAATTCGGCCCCTCGTACTTTGCCGTCAAAATGCTCTCGAGAGAGGCGGCGGCGCGCACGAGCGCTCTCCGATACACCGGCGCTCTGTGCCCCCCGCCGCCGCGCTCGCGACTCGCCTCCACGTCCGCCTCGCCGCTCGAGCTGAGCGTCGAGAGCACTCGCGCGAACTGCGATTCGTCGAGCTCTCCGCTCGAGTTGGCGTCGTGTTGCTCGAACACCATCTTCAGGGTCGTTCCGTACGAGCGAACGTCAACGCCGCCGTGGCCCGGGCGTCCGAGGCCGGCGCCGCGCTGCGCGTCTCTGATGAACTTGTCGAGCCCCCGCAGGGTGATGCCGACAATGCACTGTTGAATCAACCCTGAGATGGTGGCGGACGTCGTTCTCAACCGAGGCCTAGGTGCCGCCGCCTGCAGACTCGCGGGATGATCGAGAGATGACGACCGAGCCTCGGCCTCGGCGTCTCGAGCCTCGATCTCAGCCTCGAGCGACGCCGCCCTCGCCAACTCGAAGAGTTCGCTCGCGCTGTAGGAGAGTCGGATGCGTTTAAGCAGCACCTCGAGTCGCTCGCCGCCGTCGCGCGTGAACGTTTTCACGTACATCTGGTTCGCCGCCTCGAGCGTGTGCACCGACAGCGGCTTTTTCGTCTCAACGCTTCGCATGATCTCGAGGATGATCTTTTCCAAGTTCGGTCGTCCCGCGATGACAAGCAAGTTGTGGTTCTCTCTGAACGGACCCTCGTCCAGCAAGAGCTCGTGCTCGCCCGTGTAGTAGATGACGGTGAACGCCTCCTTGGAAAACGCCACCGTGCGCAGGGCGTACTCGATCAATTCCGCGTCTCTGCACGTCCACACCACGTTGACCCGACGCGTCCCTCCGAGCGAGACGACGGTTCCGAGCGTGGGCGTGATGCCGATGCCGCTCGCCACCGCGATGATGTTCTCGTGGTTCGAGGCGGTCAAAAATGGCGAAGGAAACGGGCCGTAGACCCACCCCGGTTTGTTTGACGGTTTCGTCAGCGCCGCGTGCAGCGCCGTCGTCCAGTCGCCCGCTTTCAAGACGCACACCGAGCTGTGATTTTTCAGCGTCGGATGCTCGTACACCGAGAACGCGTGCCACTGGAACGACCCGATCCAAGGCAAGCACAGGTACACGTACCCGCCGCCGCTGAGGTTCGGCAGAAATCCCCGGGGGTTCTCGAAGACGATCTCCACCGCTTTCGGTCCGAGACGTATCATCGTCATTGTCGGGCAGTACCGCACCTTGAGAAAGTACCCCACCGCCCAGTCGGCGACATACAATCCCACCGCGGAGCCCATCACCCACAACACGTTCGTCGCGGGCGCGTGCAACATGACGCACACGCCCCAGACGACCGCGAGGTAGTGCATCGCCTTCCGGTATTCGAAAGAGATGGCGCGACGCGCTCGGTGAAACATCATCGGATAACAGATGAGCGGCGTGACGAGGAGCGCGATCACGCCGGTGACGCCGGTTTGCGTGTCGACGAGAAATCGCGCGTCGCCGCCGGACGCCCACCTCGCGAAGTGCCAGAACGAGTGCCAAATCACCTCCACGCTCACGACCGCGCCCGCGAACACGTGCAGGTGGTGCACGTCGCTGAGCGGGAGGATTTCTTTGAGATGCGTTCTGTACATGGCGCCGCGCAGGTTATGACACTTGCTGACGAAGAGCAACAGGTACATCGGGTAGTCAAAGTACGCTGACGAACGCGAGAAACACGACCTCGTGCCACTCCGTCTTCCGCGGACACAAACACAGCGATCCCTCCGTCGGCGTCCCGACGCACGCGTCGCCGTTCTTGCCCGAGTTGATCCCGAACGGCGGCGCCGCGAACGTGGTCGCGAGCATCCACGCCAACGTCGCCGCACTGCGGAGGGTCGAATCGAGGGTCGTCGCCCGTGCGGCATCGCGAACGGAATCAAATGGGGTGGAGCGCGGGAGCGCGTCAGTCGGCGTCGAGAGGGAGGCGTCGAAACGTAACCGAGGGACGTGCGAACGGGCGGAGAGAAACGCGCGCGGACGGAAAACGTCCAGTGAAGGAACGGCGTGCGCCGCGCGGACGCGGTCGCGCGGGGACCGGCGTACGCATGAAAACCGGTCGCGCGGGGACAGGCGCGCGTCGCAGGACGCGCCTGACGCAGAGCAACGCCTTGGTCGGACCCGGCACGTCGCGGATCATCTTCGCGAGCCGCGCCCACGGCGACGCCGGCGCCGCTTTGCGTATCAGCGCGACGCGCGACGACGCTTCCGCCGTCGCCAAGGTCGCCGCGTTTAACCACGACCGTCTCGCGCGAGCCGAGATTTCGCCGCCGCCGCCGCCGAGCCGAACGTTTCTCGGCCCGCTCGCGGACGCGCCTCTTCGCTCGGGGAGACGCTCCGGCGACGGCTCCGGCTCCGGCGACGACGCCGCGCGGTCATCGCGCGCGGCCGGAGCGCGGTCGGAGCCCCCGGGGTCGCGGACGTCTTCGGGACCGCCGTCCGCGCGGAGGGGCGGCTCTGCGGACGCGCGGGCCTGGGACTGGGCGGCGCGATCCTCGACGCTCGCTTCGAGCGGCTGCGTGGGACGGACGCGACGTGGGGTCGGGGCGCGGCGCGTCAGATCGGTCGCGCGAGCGAGGCGAGGAGGTCGGTCGGGCGCGGCGCGCGCGGACGGGACGCGCGAGCGGAGACGCGTGGATCGGGTTGGTTCTTCCGGAGTTCAGGCACGCGATCGACGACGTGGCGCGAAGAGCGAAGAGCGAAGAGCGCCGGCGGCGCCCCCTTCGGGTCGGTTCCGACGGGGACGCGCGGGAAGTCGAGCGCCGCGAGCGACCGCNTCNAACGTCGCGTCTTCCGCCGGGAACGGCCGACGCCGTCGACGCGATCCAGCGCGGCGCTCGAAATCCCGCACGATGGCGCGACCTTTCCGATAATTATTCCACGGTCGTCTCGCGGCGAATCGGGCCGGGCGCGACGCTCGCGCACCTCCTCGTCGATTATCGGCACCACTGAATCGCTATTCCTTCCGCTCGCCGCGCTGGATCCGTCGACGGCGTCGGCCGGCATGGTCGCCGTCGCGGGGACGCCCCGCTCGGTCTGACGGTCCGAATGTGTGAATGTGTGTGTGAATGTCCGAATGTGTCCGACCACGTACGTAAATACAACTAACGTACACGTACTGTACACACGTGGCTTGTGGCTTCACGGAATTCCAAGTCGCTGAGACCCACCCGGCGTCGGTCCGCTCCTTCTCTGACCTCCGTTCCGCGAGCCGCTCACGCTCTCTCGCCCTCTCGACGCGCTTCTTCTTCACGACGACGGCGTCCTCTACGCTGTCCATCGCAGCGCGCGAGTGTTTGACTGGCGCGCTCGAGGCGCGAGGCGTGTCGATCGCGCGCGCGCGACTCTGATCTCCCTTCCACCTGTGACACGTACTGTACACGTATGACCGTATGACACGTATGAGTGGTATCGAAGATGATTCTTTTTCATATTCTTTTTTGCTTATTTCCGGCCAGCTCAGAGATCCCACGCGCCTCACCCCCCGCCCGCAAACCTCGAGCGCTCCCTTGGGAGCGGGTGGAGGCGCCGCCGCCGCCTCCGGTATGAACACTAGCGGCACGTTCTGGCCCTCCGATTTAGATTTAGATTTGGAGAGCTCAGACTTCCTGGACAGTCTTCTTCTCGGCGGAGAGATGATGACGACCCAGCAACAACATCATCATGCCGGCGACGAGCGCCTCGGGCACGGGCCCGTTCCACTCGGGGCACGCGCCGCTGGTGAAGATCACGATCCACGCGTCGTTCTCGCCGAACGCGACGCGGGAGATGGTCTTCTTCCGCGTGCCCTTGCCGATGAGCGACGTGAACCGGTCGCCCGCGCCGTCGTGGCATCAAACAACAACAAACAGCGCCTGCGGTGGACGCCAGAGCTGCACAAGATGTTCGTGGACGCGGTCAAGCGGCTGGGCGGCTTAGACCTCGCGACGCCGAAGGGAATCATGCAGCTGATGGACGTGGAAGGGATGAGCATCCAACACGTCAAGAGCCACCTGCAGAAGTACCGCTTGCAAGACAGCGGGGGCGGCGCGAGCGAGTTCAGGGTGTCCCCGGACGCGTCGGCGTCGGGGAAACGCCCGCGGTCGGAAGAAGACGACGCCGGCGGCAACGGGAAAGACGGGAACAACAGTGCCGGAAAGACGCGGCGGCGGCCGTCGGCGGCGGAGCGGAGCGCCGCGCGTCTGCGCGCGGCGGAGGAAAAAGCGAGGGAAGAACGCGACGCCGCGCGGTCCATGGCCGCCGCCGCCGCCGCCGCCGCCGCCGCCGCGGTAGAGAGGCAGAACGTCGAGCTCGCGCTCCTGACGGGCGACGCCGCGGGGGCACGCGACGCGTTGGAGATGTCCTCCCACCACGCCGCGAGCCATGTCGGCGGCGCGTACGACGACGTCTTGGACTTGGTCGCCGGCCCCGGCGAGAGCGGCGACGGCGACGGCGCGTGGGGGGACGTCCTCCACGACCACGCGATCGTCGGCGCCGCGGGCGACGACGTCGGTTTAGTCGACGACGTCGGGAGCGATCCGGAAGCTGCGGCGGCGATGCTGAAGCAGCTCGAGCTGCAAAAGAAACTGCACGAGCACCTCATGAGTCAACGCAGGCTCCAGCAGCAGGTGGAAGCGCACGGGGTGTACTTGGAGACGATCCTAGATCAACAGAAACGGCGGCGGGGAGTGGAGTAGTCGAGCTCCCGAAGCGACGCGATAGCAATAGCAGCGGCGTGGTCATCGATACGCGACGAGACGGCCAACGATGACGTTTTCAATATTTGACGAAGACGACGTAAAACGAGTGACGAGACGTACAGTAGACGACAGGATGAAAGTTTATTTCGCGCAGGTTTCGTCGCGACCCAATCGATTACATCTCGAACCATCGTCGCTCGCGCCAGGCTCGCGCCGTCCTGTGACAATGGCGACGCGCGCGTCGAAACACCGCGCGCGCCGCCGCGCGATCCAGGGTTTAGGGTTAGGGTTGGCCGCCCTCGCGCTCTGCGCCCTGCTGTCGAGCCCGGCGTCGTCCGGCGTCGACGACCACGACGATCGCGTCGACCTCGCGTCCCGTCGCGTCGTCGCCGCGGATCCGCTCGCGCGCGCGCGGGACGCGGGGGAGACGCGCGTCGAAGCGAGCGCGCCACGACGACCACGGCGGCGCGAAACGTTCGAGCGACCGGCGCGCGATCTCGCGCGCGGCGGACGGCGGACGGCGGACGGCGCGAGCGAGTTAAACGGTTCGACCTCGACCACGACGACGTCTTCGTCTTCGTCGTCGTCGTCGTCGTCGTCGTCGCTCGCGTCCACCTCCGCGGAGGACGAGCTCCCGCCGGACGAGTTCCCGGACTCGCTGCGGCCGCTCCCGCCGGACGCGAGCGCGCCGTCCACGGAGACGGTCTGCGGCGACGCGAGAGCGAACACCGAACGATGGGGCGACGTCGTGAAAAATGGAAACGAGAACCTCAGAGACGACGCCGCCGGGTGCTGCGCGTCGTGCTTCGACGCGGGCACGTGCACGACGTGGGTGTGGCACCCGGACAGCAAAGAGTGCTGGCTAAAGCGCGAGGCGGACGTGAACGCGCGCCCCGCCGCGGAGGGCGCGAGCGTGCGGTGGACGAGCGGCGTCGTCCCGCATCGAGAGGGCGTTCGATACGCGCTCGTCGAGGACGCGTCGCCGCCGCCGCCGCCGCCGCCGCGGTGCGTCCACGCGGTGCTCACGTCCAGCGGGAACCCGTACATGAACTGGCAGACGCGGATCATGTACGCGACGTATAAGAAGCACGCGAGGACGAGAGGGTCGATTTTGAAGGCGTTCACGAGGGTGTTGCACCGCGGCCGCGACGACGAGCTGATGTTCGAGGTGCCGACGATGCGTTTCGAGCCGAACCAAGGCAACTGCGACTCGTGGTGCGACTACCCCGTCGCGGATCGCTCGCTCGCGATCGCGCAGTGGTCGAAGACGACGGACTCCCTTCGGTGTAGTCACGTGATCATGGTGGAGACGGATTACGTGTTCGTGAAGTCGCCGCCGCCGTCGATCATGCTCCCGCGCGGGT